GGAATATTTTATTCAATATAAATAGATGTTTTGGATACAGCTCCAAAGAAAATTCAAACTCAAAAACACAACTTTAAACAATTTAATAAATATTTTTCTTTTTGGTTGTATCGTTTTTATTTATAGTATTTTCAGTATCATAAAAAGTTAAACAGAATTTTAAATTTAAGAACTAATATCACAGTCCACGTATTTATCGAATGAATATATTATACATAGGTACGAAAAAACACGTCATATTCAGTTCAAGGTTATTCTATTAATGGAATGCGAATGAAATATGGGACGCAAAACAGCTTTCCGACATGATAAGTGAATTTCCGCTGGATCCAATATCAAGAGCAATCAATCAGTAAAACATGAAAGAGTTGTACGAACTATGTACTGGTTGATATATGGAAGCCCCATATAATAAATCGATTTCAACATATCAAAATAGTTTCATGTATCCTCAGTAAAACAAAATTATTTTTACGTATAAAGACATAAAAATACCTGAAAATTATATACTTTATGTAGGTATAGGTAGGTATTAAGGTTTTCTGTATTTTTAATGTTAATTTAAACGTTAAAATAATATGACGTCCTAACGTGCTATTTCATACAAGATTCGTAAAAAAATATTTTTTTGACATTTCGATAAAGTATTGAATTTGACGGGTTGAAAACTACCCAATGATTATTGATGAAAACAAAACTTTTGGAAGAAATTCTACACGCAACAAAAGTTTTTGCGACAGCTAAAAACAATTCTCGTAAATCAGCTAAAAACAATATCTTCAAACTAATTACAATTAACCTTATAGCAATGCTTTTAACAACTCTATTTACCTGTCTCTATGCGCAGCGTCCCAGAGAAGTTCGAGCCTAAGATGCGGATGTTTGTCGTGGGCACACAACGCTTGCTCCACATCCAATGAAAACAGCGGATGCGGGAGCTGTGGGATACAAACATCAGTTACAATTACAATACATTCTTGAGACTAGAAAACAATGTCGTTTTGGTCATCAAAAATTCATTTTAATTTGTATTTGATGCTAACTACGTATTTGAGCTTTCTAAACATTGCTGTGGTATTTGTCAACAGATATGTGTTCAAACTTGTGTTTCTTTTTCAATTTGCTAACGCGACATACAAATAATAAACTTTTTAAAGTAATTCTCTTGAAACTAAAACTAACAAAAGTATAAATAAAGAAATATGAGTTATACAATATTAGTTATAGGTACCTCGGGTTGTAAATATGCTGGATCTCTAGGACGGTGTGCCTCAGCGATCCTCGCGCGGAAGATTTCGGGGCCTTGAGAGTTCTCTAACACTCGCTCAGCCACAATCTGGCACATCTCCTTCAGCATCAGCTTCTGCAAGTCCTCGTATGAAATCTCACGAGGCACTTGCATAGCGTAAGGTGATCCTTTTCAATAGAAATAAGAAAAAAAAATAGTTGAAAAATAGAACATATTTTTTTATCTTTTAAATACAAATTGTCAATGAATACTTACCAAATCTCTCTCCTTCTAATAAATTAACCCATAAAATAAGAAGGTAAGGAGTGGTTGGAGTTTGCAGGAGTGGTGGTGCTTCCATACAATATAAGGCACCAAAGTCTATGCCAGCTGCCTCCCAACCCGCTCGAGCATTACACCAGCCTGCAATTACATATATGAAATGAATACACTGCAGTATAATTAGGCGAAGGTTAATTATTTAATTTGTTATCAATATTGGGGGTGGGTGATTCTTCACATCAATTAAAAAAAATTTAATAATGTCATTATCCTCAACCGAAAATTAACGAGTCTGCTGATTAAAACACAGATAATTATTTTATTAAATTAAATCTCACCACTGCTTACAAGCAACTGATTAAAAATATTGTATAAAATAAATTACTAAGATGCTTAAAAACCTGGGAGGATAATGACTTGTTAAATAAAAGTTAAGGTTTTTTGGAGAATCACCCGGGTCATGCAATATTCAATATATATTTATTTACCCATTTCGTTAATTTCCGCCATGATGATATGATCCCTGTCAATTCCCGTGTCATTGTGTAATGTTGTTCTCAAGTCATCCATTGTCATGTTTGGTGTAAGTTCTACACCAATGCGCACTTGTCGTGGCTGCTGGTTCACATATACAACCTGAAATAAAAGTTTTATTTTTATCATCATACCAATTTAATATCTGAGAAGGTACAATGCAACTGTACTAATTTGCTCAACACTGACTAGAACATCAGCAATCAACTATTATTGATTGAGTTAATAGACCACAGCACAATATAGTGAGCCCTAGAATAAATAACATAGTGCTTAACATAGTTGCAAACAAGCCTACATAGACAGTATACAAACTGACCCTAATTGTTTGTCATAGTGACACACTTTAATCATGGCTGCAACTTCTATTGCATACAGATTTCTTATTTAGTATAACTATAGTATGAATAAATTATTAAGATATGCTACACAAGACTTACATTGACAGGTAGCGGTGAGGGCTGGGTGGTGGCCAGTCGTGAAGGTAGCTGCACACTCACACAGTGGAACGGATCAAATGTACATGATGTGCGCTCACATTTTGCACATGTCAGTGCTGACCTGTAGTGATGTTTCAATATTTAATGATGATATTGAGCAATACAATAATAAAACAACTGTGAAAACAGCAAAGTAATAGAGTTTGTGATATAATAAGCTTGGTTTCAATCAAGAAAACAGAAAGTTCACAACAGAATTAAAAAAACAAGAATAAAAATCATGTATAATATTTCCATACCTGTACTGAGCTTGAAAAACTGCTTGTACAAATGAACTATTTCTTCTGGCGTGATTGGCTAATGTTTCAGCTGCAACTACTTCATCAGGCTTGCCACATGTATTCTAAAAATTAAACACAAATTAAAAGCAACTATGCAGACCACACTTCTTGATTGACAAACTTCAATGAACTAATGGTTACCTTAATGGTTTTATATTTTTTCTTTGTAGCTGTATTTAAATCTTCATGAACTTTATCCAGTAGCCAAAATAAAAACTCTTGTGCATCATGTTGACTATTACCCCTATATTGTGTACCATGTCTTTCAACTGCACCCTGAAATATAATAAACCTTTATTCTAGAATTCTTGTATAATTAAAATATTTACTCTACTCTAGTATTATTTTTATCAGTTTAAAATATAAAATCCTAAAGGAAATAATAAACAATCAACATTCTTAAATATAGACTAAATTTATAGCAAAAGATTAGTCATGTTTTATTTAACCTTGAACATAATCATAATGAAACTATTTTCAATGCAAACCAACCAAATCCAAACACATGAATAATTTTATTAAATTCTCAGCTACAAGTGAAGCATTATCAAGGATAGATAATTATATAGACAGAGAACAGACAAGGTCGAGATTGGAACAGATACTCTCTTTTTTGGTGCATTGAATGAATATTCTTTTTTATATGAATAATAACAATAAGACAAAATAATATGTGCTTCATATAAAATACCTTAAATGCTGTGCTCATGTCAGGGGTATAATGGCAAGCCCAGAGAGCTTTAAGAATTGCTGCCAGTTGCTCAGTGACTTCACCACGGGTACCATACTTCTTTGAGTTTATTTTGTTTCTTTTCTGCAGATCAACCTAAAAATTAAACATGATTAATTAAAATTATATGAATGCTTATAGAAAATATGTTCTGGTGAAACTATTTACCACACATTTTAAACATGTAAATGTAGTCTACTTACTTTGTAATGGTCCAAAACAAAATATTCAGCAATAACATCGGTATGTGAGAGACACTGCAAAACAGCGTTCATGTAGCAAGTGTTGCCATGGTTTTTGATTCCTGTAGCAGCAGGTGTGGAGCCCGGTGGCCATGGAGGATCCCCGCTGCACGGAACGCGCTCTCCATTCACTAGAGCTGGTGCTGACTTCACCTGTAAACAGTGTGTCTATGAATTTTCAATTATCAAGTGGGATTCTAATAAGACTGATTTTTCTTGAACATGAATAAATAGATTATATTTTCTAGCTTGGTTTGATGTCAGCAGGTATTTTATTTATTTTAAACCACCAAACAAAGCGTACATAAAGCCTGATTCACCATTAAACAATGACAATAAGAGTAAATAATAACTTAGTTTCCAGTGTCTCAAGACTCAAAGTGTATGAATTATCAAGAAGTAAAAATATACTAACACCTGATACGTGAACCGTGCTCATATGTTGCGCTATCTTGTTTAAAAATCTTTTCCATGATGGCCTTCTAAACAACTTCCTTTCTATGCCATTCTCGTCTTTGGGAGCATCTACTATTGTGGAACTGGCACTTGTTGGTTTGTTTTCACTCTCATTGCTTTTATTCTTACTGGATCCGGGTTTTGTAGTGCCAAATGGATTGCGAGGCAGGGTAAATGTACGTTTTAATCGTGATCCTTCCACCTGCTTCTGTGTCATACTGTTGTCGGACACTTCATTAATCAGCTCACTCTCTGAACAAGATTTTAAAACCGAAGATAAATTATTGGTAGACATATTAAAGAAACAATCGTAGCAAAATTACATTTATATCATTTTTAAACAAAAAAATCCAATAGAAAACATTGATATGTCACTGACGTAAACGCCATTTTGATAATTTCATGATAAAAAATTGAAAACTGTTCTCAAGTTGTCTATGGTTCTCAGTGCTCAGTGATTCACATGACTAAAAAATTACATAAAGAATACCATACACGAATTTTTGAAAGCATTCATAATACGAGTAGTGAAACCCTATGATATTTTGCCATGGCAAAGCTTAGAGAAAAGTTTATACAAGTAGAAGACAGAAGAACAAAACATGAAGCTATTATTAGGATTCTAGCCTAGCAAACTAGCAAATATATTTTTTTATTTTGTAACACTATTAAGCTAGTGTCAAAAAGGTGTCAAATTATGATTGAGTTTGACAATGTCAAATAAATTGTCAATCTACCAAAGCTGTCGTTTAATTCATATAATTGTCAGACTGTCATAGTGGAAGGGAGGTTCGGCTCCTGTAGAATGGTCTGTTTCGCTTACGGTTTTCTATTGACCTTTAAAAATAGTATCAATTAATGAAATCGTGAGTGAGTGTGCCATACAGTGTTCTGCGTATCTGTGAAAATTCTACAAAAATAGGATGTATACGTAATATGCAGGTAGGATATTGTCTCGTATATAAATTACCTAGACGAAAATAAAAAATTGCTGCTTAAAAATAGTACTAGGAAAGTACTAATGATCAATAGAAAGAAATAATAATAATAGTATGCATTAAAGTTTAACTAGAATTTTCAATTATTTATACGATGTCTGTGACAAAGGTGTGTATGTACTGGAAACAAACCTGTGAAAGAAAGCGTATTATAGGTACTTCATCTTTGAATAATCAATGTAATATTGTATTCGACAATAAAAGTAACATAAAAAAATCTGTTAATTAATTACTTACTCCAATAATAATGTGGGTACCCAATAAGAAAATAAATATAATTCTAAGTACTAAGTAAATGTATTTTCTTTTATATCATTCAATATCTAACTGAAAGTTTAAATAAAAATATGAATTAAAATTGTAGTTAACATAATTATTTTCTTGTTCTCATCAGAGATAACCATTATTATTTTCATTCTGATGGTTCAATCTTCAAATCTGAATCTGATTTTTTAGGAAGCACCCAGATAATTTTCGTAAATATCGTAATATCCTGTATGAAAAGTGAAGTTAAAATTATAATTTCTGAATTAGAATTAAGAAGATTTGCAGAATGACATTTAATTTTTTATAACTTATGCACAAATTAAAATTAACAAAACAAAAAGCTTTAACTGCACTGAAAATTCAAAACAACCATGTTAAAGCATGAAACAGCATTGTACAAATTGTGATAAACACCTGAAATAAAACCTAATTTCACACAGATAATGAAATATTATTTAATTTTTATTTTAGATGTCCACCTCCTGACACAATGTCTGCCTTTGACAAATTAAAGCTTCTCATTTGGAAGAACTTCCTTTTACAAAGGAGACACAAATGGCAAACAGCTTTTGAAATTGCATCACCTGTGATATTTTCTTTATTTCTTATTCTAACAAGATGCCTAGTGGATCCAAAATCAAAACCAGATATAAGTTATCCTCCATTTCTCCCAACATATTTCAACCTAACTGGAAGAAGTTTGTAAGTATCAAACCATTTTGCTTGATGACATTTATTTGAAAACAAAACACAGTCTAACCTCTTTTTTTTATACAGAGGCAATCTCACAACAACTAAATCAGGAACTCTGGCATTCTCCCCTGAAAACCCTCTTACTAGAAAGGTAACTAAGGATGCCATAGCAATGGTAGCAGATGATAATTTTAGCATACTTTTTGCTCTTCTATTTGATTCAAATGTTTTACCTCAACCTAAAGGCTACAAAAATGCTAAAGAAATGGAATTAGCTCTTACTCAACCTAATGCAATGAACCAAATTCTTGTTGGAATCCAATTTGATGACAGTATGGCAAGTGAGTACCTAATATTATGTTCACTAATGAGATTATGTGTACATTTATGTCAGAGAATTTATTTTCCGTAGCTACATGGATGTATTGGAAAATACCGCGAAAGTTCGTAACAAATATAATATTTGCAGATGCTACAGAATGGCCAGATGATATAACTATAACTCTAAGATTCCCAGCTGTGATGAGAACTCCGATGGTGGAGCACCCACTTAGGGCTAGTTGGCGCACGAATTTATTGTATCCGTTGTTCCCGCGCCCTGGTCCTCGTGATCCAGACGACATGTACGGCGGAAAAACACCAGGTGCGGTTCATATAAAACCATTTATTCACCTCTCATTATTCACCCCTACAGAACGTCGTAGCCACCTACTTACTTATTCATGATTCATTTCTTGATTGCTACTTTCTCTATACCTATTTGAAATATAAGTAATCATAAAAATAATAGTAAAAAGACCTGTCCTAAGCGTTTTACTATTTGTTACATTAATCTCCATTGTTTAAATTTCGCAATTTTCATTACGCAAGATGTATATCGTGTTCTGCTTACTTTACGTCATTGAGTTATTTTTTTATCAACTATTAAACCCAGGAATCTAATTAATTCCTATAATTATGAACTTTAGTTCTTCTTTTGTGACCTTTGACCGTTAAAGTAATCGTTGTTATTATTCGCATTTTTTTACGAATGATACTCGTATAAACTCAAGGCTAAATAAACAAATGTTGCGATAAAAACAACTACCTAAAGTTATGAGCGACGTTGAATTAGAAATGTGTTGTAAAATGTCTAAAAATAGAGCCTATAAATTTACAAGCGACTGACGCTTAACCAGGAACTTACTAAGAATAGTAAGAATTTATAAACGAATCTAAAAGTAATTGCATACATAGACATACATAGATGGTATCCATGTAACGTTAACAGCGAACTAAATAAACTAAGCTTGATCTTTGCGTTTTAGGATATTCACCAGAAATGTTCTTAGCGGTTCAGCATGCTATATCGCAGGAAGTCATAAAGCAGAAGACCGGGAAGCCTATTGGCACCAAAGTTTATCTACAACGTCTACCTCAACTTGCATACAGGGAAGATCAGTTGTTAGTCGCCCTCGAAAGATTCATATCAATGATCATCATGCTCTGCTTCGCTTATTCGTTCGTCAACACTGTGAGGGTCGTAACATTTGAGAAAGAATTGCAGTTAAAGGTAAATATATTTAAGAAATAGGAAATATTTGAACCGTATACACAAAGCAAAGTATTAATCGAGCCATTTTGTTTGACAGGAAACTATGACAATAATGGGCCTTCCATCGTGGCTACACTGGTTGGCTTGGTTCATCAAACAGTTTTCGTTCCTGCTTATATCTGTTGCCCTTATTGTCATTCTGTTCAAGGTAAGTTCAATGGTCCATGTTATTGCTCTCGTTAGGGGGAATCGTCGAAATTAATATGTCCGGGATAACGGGTCTTTATTGTGATCGATACTGCAGCATTTCGATTTTGAATAAATTGAGGATTTATTCAAAATCATTGTTTAGCCACTCATAAATACCAAACACTTTTTCTCGAAAAAAAAAGATTCATTCGCTGAAATCGTTATTTATTCATGAAGTATCTACACTGAAGTGTTGATAGAACTGAATTTTAGAATTTAAAGAAGTCATGTCCTGTTATCTCGGAGTTAAACTCATACAATATGTATCTAAGTTTGGTATTGTAAATACATCAGCAAAAGAATAATGAATTATATGTTTTAGACACCTTTCAACCGGACTGAGGCTGGCGACGGTTACTCTGTCCTTACATTTACACCATGGAGCGTCCTATTTTTCTTTATGATCTTGTTCGTTATCGCCTCATTATCATTTTCTTTTATGATCAGCGTCTTCTTTTCTCGAGGTAAGTCATCATTACATAAATGACTGCTTTTTGTCTCGTACTCCAATGATGTAGGCGAAATTATTTTTAAATTGATTTTCATATACTTACCTACTTTCAGTCTATCTAGAAGCTAATAAAATAAACAATAGATATTTGATATTCCATATGAATATAGATTTTATCTCTAGTGCGGACGCTTGTTATCATATATGCTATTGATGTTTCACAGCCAATACAGCGGCATCGTTTATGGGCCTGGCATGGTTCGCCGCATACTCTGTTTACATGTTAACTCAAGTACTTTACGAAGACATTAGTCTGTCAACGAAACTGTTATTAAGTCTGATATCAAACACTGCTATGGGATATGCGTTCCAAATCATCATCATGTGTGAAGGAACCTCTAAAGGTAAGTGCCGTATTTTTTTCGATAGTTGCACTTGTATCAGTTAATTTTTCTGTCTCTAAAACTAAAATTATTTTGCTTCTTTGACTGAGATATTACTTACCTGATACGAAAAGGTACATCCTCTAGCCTACCTACATAGTGGACGTGACCCATGGCCTCGAAATAGCTTTTGGGTAATTTAATGACGCAAGTCGTAAAGCAATAAAAAGTGCCAAGACTGATTTACAAAAATACTGGTGGTTAAAAAACTGCCGACATGTTCCATTCCATATTAATATAACAAACAGAAATCTTAATTGTTACGTCTTCAATAAAATAATATTTTGATAACTACGTAAGGTACAGGCTGAAATTTTCAAATCACTAGGACAAAGAAATAAATTATTCATTTGTACTTTCGACCGACGCGCGCTACCCTAAGCGCAACTGTAGGTACGTACAACTTAAAGATACAATAGATGAGTAACATCCTAAGCTGTACAAAGTATATTTATTTTTCTTTTCTTATGACAAATATGAGACACTCACTTACGTTTTATTTGCTGTTATGCTTGACAAACTGCGAATTGCCTATAAAGTTACATATGACCATTTGTTTTATGTCTTCACGACTTTACCTACATTAAAATGAAAGCTTATTTATTGACGAAAATATAAATAACTTTTCCTACTTAGAACAGTATAGTTTTATAACAACACAGGAGCTAATGACGTATTAAGTAACTAATTGTATCGTCTAAGTATCGGCCGAAATATCTTAATCCATAGATAATCCCTGGATCGATGTTCTTGTTTGAAACTATAGTACCTGAAGAGTTTGGTTATTTTTTCTGTTCTATTATTAGTTTCGGTCGTAAATTATTGATGGTGCAATACCAGCCAATTTTTGCCATATAATATTTACACCGATTAATTTAATGCATCAATTGTGTCAATTAAATAGAATACTGAATCTTATTTCAATATTAATTAGGTCTACAATGGGACGAGTTCTTCACTCCGATATCATACCAGGATCAACTACAACCAGGCCATATAGCTCTAATGCTGATACTTGACTCGATACTCTACATGTTGATAGCAATGTACGTGGAAAAGATAAGGCCAGGCCTCTATGGAGTTCCGTTACCCTGGTATTTCCCTGTGACGAAGAGCTTCTGGAAACCGAAAAAGCATAAAGTAGCAGGTTTGTACTAAGAATAATCTACATTTTAAATGTCATATGTGTTCGTATCTCACCATCTTAACGACACACTTATTATTTACCGGTTATTTTGTTTCGAGTAGAGAATTATCGAATTATTTCTTTCGCTCTGGGTAGGGCGAGAGGGAGTGTAAGACTTTTACCGATTAAAAAACCACCCCGTTCCTGCTCCGGGTCGGACCCGAGGTACATTATTACGCTTGGCACCCGGAACCCTGATTGTACGCCGGCAATGAAGTCTCTGTTCCCATAAATATAAACTACTAGCTAATCTCGCATGGTTTCACCCGCTGCTCAGCTTCATTTGATCTTAGCATGATGTTTTATAGGTGTAGCGGTTCCAAAGATTACCCCCTACATACAAACTTACAAATTTTACCTTTTTATAATATAGGTATAATATAGATGGACACAAATACACACTCCATTCGTAGAATTCCTAAAACCAAAAACGAAAGCTTAATATTTTTTCTGATCCTAAAATCGAAAATCAAGGCCATTACTGAACAGAGGCTCAGTAATCAACAACTTAACAAACGAGACAGTCTATCAATATTTGTTACCTGTTAAAACGATCAGTCTTCACTTCAAATAATATATTGACGTCCGTCGTTCAGGCTTTGAATGAATACTCATAAACTCATAACATGTCTTATGTAATTCATCAGTGTAACTCGTGTAACAAATCAATACCGATCATCACAAAAACCATGCAATCAAGGTCATTGTCATTGCGACTCTACAATGAACATCTCGCATCGAACCGGTTTATCGACTTTTAAACTATCTGCGATTATTAGTCGCATTAAAATTTTAATCGCTCCAAATGATTTATAATGTGGTAGGTAACTGCATAATGCGAATCATTGTACTGTGATGCGATGAATCAAAATGTGAACTTTAAACTTTGTACATCTATGTTTTCTGACTAAGCGGGTTGTTACTTCGTTATCGAGTTGCACAATGGTATGAATTATGAACATACATTTCAATATCGTGTCTGAATCTCTAAAAAGGTTGTAGGGAGGTGAAAAGTTTCAATTCATTTATTTTGCACAATTTAAAAAGAAGAAAGGAAGAAAGCATTTTCTATCAGTCTACCTTAGAGTCATACAGCAAGAAATCACCAAAAACTTTCATATATAATTCATAATAATATCCATATATTTATGACAATTTAACACTCACTTTTCACCATTTTTATGGAACTGGGTGAGCCTATTACCACACAGCTGACACAATGAGCTTCGAATTTCTGGAATAATACAGTAGCAATTCTTGTAAATGAAAGCTAAGACCAATTTCTCGGTAGTCGCACGCCCAACTACTCGATCACCGAAGGAGTCAATAAAATTTTGTTTCACAGAGATAACTGGAAAGGATTCAAGCAATCCGGAGTACAATGACGCTTTGTTAAAAGTCGTTCATGACCACGATGAGGAACCGAAAGGCGTGCCAGTGGGCGTCAACATACAGGTAAGTCACGCACGACACGTTACCAAATATTTTACGTAAACAAGCTACTGCTGAAAATTACGAATACCTACACAGTTTGGCCTTAGTTAAACAAACAAACGCCAAAGACAAGTGAACAAGGTCTTAGTAACTTTGTCCCCCTTAATACAAAACAAGATTTTTCTTTAGTCTATGTTTAAACAATTGAGTTAGATTTTGTGTTTTGAAACTTATTCTCACTTTGAGTCAGATTTTGTATTTTGAATCTTATTCTGACTTACCTTCAATTTGAAATACAAAACTGGCTCAATGGTTTAGACCTAGGCTAAAGAAAAACTTTGTTTTGTAATAAGGCTGTGTATGTTTGTAACTTAAAAATGTTGAACAATATAAAGGTGACAAATTTTACCATAATAACATTTTACAGAAGCTAACATTTATGTTTTTTTTATGCCTGTGAGTCAACTAGTTAAATAAAGTATCTAATTATATGTTCTATATTTTAGTGTCAGCTGTCTGATAACTAACTATACTTACCTAAATTTAGGTAGTTAAATAAGTAGTTCGAAAAAATATGTACTTACACCTACTTAAAATCTACAGGTACCTAGTAAATGTATGTTATCATGTCTCATTTGATCTATAATTGAGTGTGTCTAAAGTATAACCTTTCGAAGTCTCACGTAATATCCTTATTGATCAATTTAATAACGATAAGGGGTAGTATAAACTTGTCTATGTCGCACTAAATAAACAAAGGGACGACTCCATAACACCATGTTACACAACTTATACTTAGCTGTGGTATCTTAAAGGAACTCACCGGCCATGACTTCTAGCCTGACCGTATTTCTAAAGAATTCCTTAGGTATTTAGATTTATACAACTCAGTTGTGTGAATAGGCACTAGAGGACTTATGCAGTAAACATCAAAAACGTAAAAGTAAATAAAATTTATTAACTCGCTATTTTATTACAAGTCTCAAGTTTATGGATTTGGGAGTAAAAATATTTTACCGTAAACTTTTGTTTCAGAATTTAACGAAAATATACAAGGGTCGTAAAAAAGTCGTAGACAATTTGAACCTGAGAATGTATGAGAACGAGATCACCGTATTATTGGGTCACAATGGAGCCGGGAAAACGACCACTATATCCATGCTTACAGGTATTTTTTTACCTTGACATTTGTACCTAGATGTATGATGATGATGGATGACTGTGTATATTTAATACACAGTCATCCATCGAACATAAATGATTAACATAATTCACTAGAAAGTCTTCTTCACTGCCATATAAAGATGTCATGTTATAATAACCCACTTTAGTCAACTTTAAATAAGTTTAGTATAAATATAGCTTTATAAAATATTCTTATTCGACAACATCTTAGTCATAGTTTGTAGGAAGTCAACCGAATAACAAAGGATTTTCCTTAGTTGTTAACTATTACGAAACGAACACACCTAATAATTTTAAGTAAATACTATCTTGCTTTGAGTCTCATTCAAAACACATAACATTTGTAAAGGCTTATAAAAAGAATGTCTCTTGATAACAAGTAAGTACTCGGAACTCTCCACTATAATTTTCTACAATTCGGGTCAGAGTCGTATGATGTACGAATGAATACTTACATAATCAGGCAAAGATCCGAGAACCAGTGGGAAACACTCGGGTAGACGGTGTTAATGACGTTTTTCGGTTCATCTAAGCGTACCTAAGTAGCGCTTGCGTGCTAAACAACTGCCCAATTACGTCCACTTTACTGTAATTTAGCTCTTCCTATTAACAACATCAATCATACAATGAATGTATCTTCGTGTTTGCTCTAACAAACCAATAATTCTTTATTAGATGCTGTAAATGTTACATTGATTACTATCGTTTGTTACTATACTTTGTAGCTTTTTCTATTGATTGTATCCAGGCATGGTTCCACCGACATCTGGGAAAGCTTATATCAGCGGTTACAACATAGTGACGGAGACTGGTCTAGCGCGCAAGTCACTCGGCATCTGTCCACAACATAACGTACTGTTCCCAGACCTCACGGTCGCGGAACACATCATATTTTATTCAAGACTAAAAGGTGTACCGAAAAACAAAATAAAGGACGAAGTAAATCATTTCGTCAAACTCCTTGAATTAGAAGAAAAGGTCAGTATAAATATTGTCGTTGTTTTAATGATTAATGTCATAAGAAGTATAGAAATGACGTTAGTAGTTTTTGCCCCCTAGCTAACCTCCGTACCCGTCCACATACAACCACGATGACTTGGCGGTAAATTGTATGAGATAAATATTATATGAGGTTGAAGTAGATATTTATCTAGCTTGACGTTGTTCCAGTGAAGTTGTTATTAGATATCGACAACGTTTATGTATTTAAGTGACACCGTAGCCATTGTCGAAGAGAATTCAATATTTTTATGCAGTTATTTCCATTACAACTCAATAATGCCTTTACTAATTTTGGTCTTTAATTATTCGTGGAAGTTTAGAGTAGGATCGTATAGAAAATTAAAGAAGTCTTGAAAAAGGGTGACCGCTAGTATTATATAGACAGTTTATTGAAAGTTTCTTCTAGCGAGACGTGACGTCTGAAAAGTTATCGGGCGGCCAGAAGCGGCGTTTGTCTGTTGGGGCTGCAATGTGCGGCAATTCGCGAGTTGTACTGCTCGATGAGCCCACGTCCGGCCTTGACCCCGCCGCCCGCCGCGCGCTGTGGGACCTACTGCAGAAAGAAAAGAAAGGTTTGTCCTTGAAAACATACACAGCATTAACAAAATTTTGGAACACGGAACATAACTTCGAAAGGATTGGGTCAAGGCTTTCAAACGATTACTTACATAATTAATAATTTGTACAGAGTAACCTCGGCAATGAACGACTGTACACCGTGCTGTGCCGTCTGTACTCTATATTGTTATAAGCTGTTTAAACTAGAATTGTTTTGCTTTCGTATGGCCTGGTTACGATCCATGTTAAACTATCTAACAACACGGTAAATTCGTATACTTGAATACAAACACATTTTGCCTTAAAGAATATTTTATAATAACTTAAGTATATTTGTTGGACATTATTGTTGAGTCATAGAATATATTTGTCATATTGGTAAGAAGTGACGTGGCTTTAAAATTGGCCTTTGATACTTTATCGCTTGTTTTATATTTGCTGGTATTATTTACAATAGAGGTTAAGAGGAAAAAAACAAGCCTCATTCTTACATTCTCAGAAGTTATCTAATACCATCAACTGAACAAATCTTGTAAACGGCTCAAACGATTTCCATTAAATATTGTTGGAAAGGGTTTCGTTGACGAAAAATCAATCTAGCTATGTTTGAATAGGAGAAAAAAATTGAGTAAACGTCGGTCATCCACGTACTGAGTAGTTTAGACTATAGTTATATGGGTGCACAATTATACATGCGAAGTTATGGGTTGTAAACGCACACGCACCCGCAGCATGGGAGAAAATTCTTGTTGATACAAAGCCTAAAAAACATGAATCATAAACCTATTTAGTATTTTCTGGTATTTTTATTAGTGGCAGGGTATAAAGTCACATCCAAAGTATACATCATGCCAAGTCTAGACAAAGAAGTAATTGCTATGCAATTTAAATTTCATCACTTAATTGAAGTTTGAACTTAATAAAAACAATTAACCATCATTAAATTTCGAACAAAGAACATTTCAAATTAGAAGTGCGTCATATTTGAATGAAACATGCAATGTCAATTTGTTTATTTTATTTTAACACTCTTTTTGCATGATTTATGAGAAAAGAGATTTTATGTCATTCACCTTTAGATCTTATATATAAATATGCAAATTTTATTCTTATTTTAAATTCGAATTTTTAGCCAATTTTTTTTTAAATAAATGTTAGTTTTAGGAACTAAAATATTTATTTATACCCTTTAAAGAAATGCACATCTTAGACATAAAACGCACTTTACTCTAGTTATTGGTGGACTCCCATCGCCCATGTGACACCTTATAGGTACACCCCGAGTTATTTCCAGACATACTATTTCAAACAATATAATAATCGAAGAACGAAAACCTCCTTTAATATTTTCCTGGACCGGGAAGTCGACACGAAACCCTCCGTTGTTCTGCGACCAAAGAAAAAATCAAAAGCTCAAAACTACAAAACTAAATATTTTCACAGGTCGTACAATGATACTGACGACGCATTTCATGGACGAAGCCGATGTGCTCGGTGATCGAATAGCAATCATGTCCGGGGGCCAACTACAGTGTGTAGGGACCCCTTACTTCCTCAAAAAACATTACGGTATCGGCTACAAAATAACTATTGTCAAAGGAGACAATTGCATAACTGATGATGTCACTAAGTTCTTCAAAACTTACGTGCCTGATATTAAAGAAAATACGAACATAGGTAAGCAATGTCTTCGACTTATAAATTTGAACTGATTACGTTTATGCACATTTTTGTACAAGGCAAAATTTATTTTCTGTGTAGTCACAAATTTCCATACAAAATTTCGAAATCTCTTAGAATGTCTTCTCTGTGGAATATTTCTAGATAACTAACGATTTTCTGTCCGGACAGGTCAATGACTTTGTATTGCCTAACAACTTTTCAAGGTCAAATAATATATTTTGCTCTAAAACTAATTAGTATTTATTTCTAGGTTCGGAATTAACATATATCTTGCCTAGCGACAATGTTAGTAAATTTCCTGAGATGCTCAAAGAATTTGAAGAGAAAAAAGAATCCTTGTGCGTTTCTAGTTATGGACTCTCTGTTACAAGCTTAGAAGAAGTTTTTATGAAGTAAGTTTTATTTCTACACGGAGATTGTAAGGTTATTTTAGCTGTGTTGGTTTTATTTTTAACATTTTAAATTATAGGGCAGGCGCTGAAGATCTAGAAAGTTCGTCAGCGAAAAGTAAAAACCATACGAGTTCTGGACCATACAACGAATGCGCAATCGCACCACTGGCCAACAACATACGTTAGTATTACAATCTCGAAGTTTTTTTAAGTCGACCATTACCTCTCCAAAATATAAATCATTTTTTATTTTCAGCGGATAATGAACCCATACAAAAAGTGCGCGGATTCAAACTTTTGAGGAATCACATAAAGGCAATGTTTTTGAAACTAGCCTATAATACGATGAGAAATAAACTGACTGCCTTAATACAGTTCGTGACGCCTATAATTAATATATCAATATCAGTAGTGATAGCCCGGTCGTGGAAATTTTTGTCTCAATTGCCGCCTTTAACGTTAAGTCTGGAGAGTGGGTTTGCAAAGACAGAAACCTTGATGTCCCAAGCAAACGTAACAGATGGTAGTATCGAAGCCAAAGCCATGACGGCGTATAAGGATTACTTCAAAACCTCAACGTACCCAGGCATGTCGCTTACCGACTTGGGAACAAGTAATTTAGGGAAATTTTACCTAAAGCTAGTAAGTTTAAAATACTAAGTTTATTTTTTTATTCTTAATATTAATATATTGCTTCTTTAACAATAAAAACTTTTTAGAGTGAGGATGATCTCTCAAGGGTAAGATATGAAATTCCCATTGGGGCTACATTTGGCGCGCACAACATCACAGCTTGGTTCAGTAACTACGGGTACCACGACTCAGCGATATCGTTGGCGCATGTCAACAATGCAATCATGAAAGCTATGTCTCCTGGAAGTACTTTGAAAGTAATCAACTACCCACTGCCATATTCGATTGAAAATTTGGTAAGTTCGTTTAAAAATCACACTTAAGTGCATCGAATAAAGATCTTTTTGCTACCTTTTTTTGTGTAGTTCAAAAAAACATGAGATAGATTTTGATTTCGAAAATTCAAGTCTACTGCAAGGAAATAAAGACTAGCACAATGAGATCAATGTAATAATAATTACAGAAGCATCTATAGCCGTAACAATCAAGTCGCTGTTACTCGCAGACAGTTTAAATTGTCCATATAAATACAACGAAGCATTCAATTGGATGGAATTAGGACAAACTTTAATAAGCCGGTTGTAGTCTATTGTGTCTAATAGCACTTTGTGTGATTATATATGTATTGATTGATTATTCATTGTCTCTTCCATTTGCTTCAGGTCAATTAATTTTGATTGTATTGAGGCCATTTTAAATTACTATATCTATCAAGTTAATACATGGAAAGGCTTTTCAATAACAAAATCACGGCTTTTCTACCCTTTATTTAAGTGGGAAAAAATCATCAAATTAAACTAGGTTTGCTAGTTATGTTATACGTTTTATGTGGCAAAGGTCAAGCATATTGCACTATAGCTATAATAGCTGTTACAAAAAAAAGGTAATCGTACTTGTGAAAACTCAATTAACGTTCTAATCAAGGATTTTTCATCTCTCTGCCATATTGAGTGATGGGTCCTGCTATATTTTGTTGTAGCAAATACTTGTGCTATATTTTAACTGGCATATATAGTACTGCATAATGTTATGTAATAATAACAATAATGTTTATACTAAAAAACTGTCATATCTCAGTTTAAAAAGAAGGTATTCTAAGAAGCTTGCCGGGGCTGCGGGGTAAGCGCAATGAGGCACCGCGACCTCGGCCCAGAGCAGGAGAAGGAACGGGGGGTTTTTAGTCAGTAAGAGTCTCACTCTCTCTCTCTCTCGCCTTACCCTGGGCGGGAGAAGTCATTGGATGATTTTCCCCTGACAAAAAAAGGCGACATATAAAGGGTTGTGACAAAGACTTATTTTCTGATTACATTCTCATGTGACTATGATAGACGTCAGAAGATGAGTAAAGAAACGGTCGCCGTAGCCCGATACCAGCTAGGAAGGATTATTATTCTTAGAACGCTAACTGCCCGGTGTCTGTTGTATCAATACTGCATAAGACATAAATAATTTATTTCAGGTCAAGGTCATGGCTTCCGGCAGCAGCATGGGATTCCAATTCGCATTCAACATCGGCTTTTGTATGGCTTTCGTCACTGCTTTCCTCGTACTCTTCGTTATTAAGGTAATATTTTATATATTGATTTGTTAACTACCAAACATTATTTAATTAAATTTAACTACATCGTAAAGGTCATCGTTTCGATCAATGAAGTTTTCAAGTTGGTTGGTACTTAACTACATACGTACGTATGTATATCCAATTATAGACATGTCTTTTTCTTTCCTTGCAACTTATATGCGTACCTACTTATGTAATTATATCCATATGAAGTATGATGCCTGAATTCGATACGCTAATCTTGCTAAGTATTTAAAGATTTTTTATTCTGTTGTACATCCGCTTCAACAGTTTATGATTCCCATGTAAACCTACTTATAAATATCCTTAACTATTATTCCATACTGAAACGCAATGCGACTAAAACATTCAATCAAACAAACACATCTTCGTTTTTGTTCGTTCCAAGATCGCGTGCGTCGAAGGTTTTTTACAACAAAACAAAAAAGATGTTCCGCTAATGTTTGAATGAGAGAATTTAAATAAGTCTGTTCTTAATTATAGGTAAACTCTTTTAAATGAATGAATATAAATAATGGAGTTTCCGCAGACGCGATTAAAATTCACGAACTTTACTTACTGTGTGGATCAATGGACGATACTAATAACCCAAAAATCTTTAGATTATAATTGTTAGTTTTCTTAACTTACTGTCAAAACTTACATTGATCTGGATCGATCTAAACAATATCGAATATGACTTTATCACGGATGGGCTGGCTCGACCTGAGTGGTACCACGGTCTCGCAGAAAGCCGTGAAACAACTATAGCTTCGCCGTGTGAGTCAGGTTACCAAAGCCATAACCCTTGTCCCTCCATCCCTAGCCAACCCCTTAATCCCCTAAAGACCGACAATGCCCATGGACACCGCAACTCCTTTGGTGTTGCGGTGTCCATGGGCGACGCGGATTGCTAACATCACGTTATCCGTCTTCTCGTTTGACGCCGCATCTATCACATACAAAAACCGTTAAAAATATCACGCTACGGTCAATAGGAGTTGAGTAGAGGATGAAACCGCACGTGGGTCGCAAGTTCAAAATAATCCTAGCCACTTGCCATTAGGTGATGTTGTGTGTTCTATTGCCCCTTACAAGTGTAAGTAAATATATCTCTGTTACCAGGAACGCATAAGTGGCGCGAAGCTTCTCCAGCGTGTGTCAGGCGTGCGCCCTGCAGTCATGTGGACAACTGCGCTCATTTGGGACTGGATGTGGCTGTTCCTCGTCTACCTCTGCATTGTACTAACCCTCGCTTGCTTTCAAGAAAGCACACTATCTACACCTGCTGAACTAGGTACCTTCAACTACAGGAATGATATGTTTGATTTGAACATTACAAAGAAATATTCTAAATTGGTTGCTTGTTACAGGCAGGGTACTTCTAGTCTTAATGGTGTTCTCTATAGCTACAATACCGTTACACTACCTCGCATCATTTTATTTCGAAGCGGCTGCTACAGGCTTCTCGAAAATGTGCTTCATGAATATATTTACGGGTAAGTATTTCAATAAGTTTGATATTTATACAAAGTATGAATACATAAACAGCTTATTTAAATTGAGTTTACACAGTAACATCATTATTCGGATTTGATATCATTCTTGTATTGCGGGGATGGCACAATATCACAAGCTGTTAATATAAGATCGAATAATAAACCCATTTGTTTTGTTTCATCAGGTTGCATGCCATTTTTAATCATCGAATTATTGAGATTACCTGAAGTAGGCAGTCCGTTTTACGCTCATCTGTTCGACTGGATTTTTTCTCCGTTGCCCATTTACTGCATCAGTAGAAGTTTCAGGTAAATATTCATACTTATTGGATTTATCGATGTCAAGAACAAAGACACGCTTTTCACGCTGTAGGCTAAGTAATATCAAATATTCTAGTTGCTATAACTTTTACAATGACAAATGTTACTACGCACAATAGTATTGCCTGAATGGTATCGCTTGACCTTGACAATTCAATCTAATATATCTAGATTCAGGAATTATAATATCGAGGCCGGAGAGTAATTTTATGATAATTCTAATATATCCTTTTTTGATTAGATTTAAATCTTTACAAACATTGTAGAGGCCTATTGAACCGTTCCAATTTACACTAATACAACTATTTACCATAAAATGGGAAAGTACACCTATATAAGTATTTGAAATGTTTTCCTTATGTAGGGACATGAGCGTTTCATCGTTCTCAATGATGGCGTGTGACGGTCTCTGCGAACAACTGAAGATCGAGAACTGCACTCGGCATACGATCTGCAATCGGCTCAAGCTCTCCGTGTGTTGTAGTAAGTGAGTCTTGTGGTGCGTGTTTGTACTGTACTTCTGTATGCTTACTGTGCTTCTGGACGTTCTAGTGTATGTCTGCTTCAACTCTGCATACTCTAAACATTTCATATGCTAGCTTCTGTATAGAAAAAATATGTTGTAAGAGTTCGAAATTGCTTGTACAAAATTGTATTAGAGTTAACTGAAAGTAAAGCTTTGACTCTGCTTTAAAATATAATGAATGGACTGCCGGGGTCTCTCGAACAATTATCTTTACTCGGCCGATTTGTATACAAAACTGTCCTACAAGAAAGATAGGAATGTAAATGTCTTTATTTTCTTATGAGTCCAGGCTAAGATTATGCTTAAATAGAAAAAATACCTGCTGTAAGTTACGCTGTTGAAAAAAGAACCACCTTTTATAAATTGGTCTGTTAGATCCATTACATATTAGTTATATACTTGGTTGATGTATTTCGAATTAAATCTATGAGAAACATAGGTATTTATTCAGGTTTTGTTAATTTCCAGTTGAAGATGACCCGTACATGCGGTGGGAAGAACCGGGCATCGGAAGATATCTGTTCATGATGAGCATGGTCGGAATCGTGTCTTTCATTCTATTGCTGATCAAAGAATATGAACTACTGAACAAGGTAATTATAAGTTGTTTTGCAGTGGCAACGAGCCAATAGACCACTATCAGCCGGGGTGGCGAGGCAAGTTTAGTAAGGTACCGCAGCCTCAGCTTGGAACAAAAGAATAAACGAACGAACGAATGGGGTAGATTTTAGCCAGTAAGAGTCTGACACTACCTCTTGCCTCACCCTGGGCTAGAGAAACCATTTGAGGATTTTCTCCCCTTAAAATGTTTTATTGTTGTCCTAATACTCAGAAACCGGCAATTGTAAAATTTTACTGATTGTAACATGTTTCGACGATAATAACAATATACCACATATCTGTGTCGAAAAATTGTTATATCGAATCCAAAATGAGTAGTTTTTATTAGTTTGAAGAAAGGTAAAAAGATCTGATTACTTTATTGAGATAATATTGTTTTCAGGTATTCTACTCTTCAAGTAGCCAGCCAACGCCAACTATAGGGAAAGAGGACGATGACGTGGAAGTAGAACGCCGCAGAGTCCACGAGTTGACGAGACCCCAAGTAGCTCAGCACAGTCTCGTTTGCAGAGACCTTACTAAATTCTACAAACAATTCCTCGCTGTGAATCGACTTACGTTTGGTAAGCAAATGTCTTTCGTGTAAGTAATTTAATGATTACTGTGTGTATCCGAATCTCCGTAGAACATTTCTTTGCAGTTTTGGCAGTAAGCAGAAAAAATGCAAAGCCATATTGTTCTTGCTCAATATAATAGCGCTTGTTAGCCGTAAATATTCGTCTCATCCATAGACAGTTGTTTGCGCAATGTTTCTGGCGCAAATGTTAGCGCAGTTTTTCTTGCGCGAATTAATTGAAATGAGATTCTAGAAATTATTACCAAACTGTAGCTTGCGTTTTGTTTTTCTTTTAGCTGTAAACAAGGGAGAGTGCTTTGGTTTGTTGGGTATAAACGGCGCAGGCAAAACAACGACATTTCGTATGTTGACTGGCGACGCTCACATCTCTGGCGGTGACGCGTACGTGCACGGGATGTCTATCAAAACGCATATACAAGACGTCTATAGGCATATTGGTGAGTAACTATTTTCTATCTACATATTTCATATCGAATAACTTTATAAATACAATTTTGCACTGTGTTTTATCTAATTATTCTTTACTTTTTAATTTTCATTTTAACTGGTAAAATTTAATGTAATTTTAATTTCCACAATGTCATATTTTCATGTATCATTATAGTAGTCGTAAGTATAACTTTAATTTAGTAGTTTTATGCATGCTGTGTTTACCTATAAAAGATATACATATACATATATAAAGACATACCCAAGTATTGTACTATAATAATGAATGTACTTACGTATTTCATATTTATAGTGTAAACAAATGTTGGTGGGCCAAACAATAAAAATATATCGCTTGGTGTATTGCCACAGGTTATTGCCCGCAATTTGACGCATTGTTTGAAAATCTGACGGGTCGCGAGACGTTGCGAATATTCTGCTTACTGCGCGGCATACCGGCCGCCGTCGGTAACGCTAGAGCTCTACATCTCGCCACCTCACTCGGATTCTTGAGACATTACGATAAAAAGGTATACACTTAATTGGAATATATGTTTTAAATAACGGTTACACGATTTACTTCTGGTGATAACTGATAAGTTTTCGAGCTACGATTAGACCATTCATTTTTTTTGTGTGAAAGGTCGACCAGTAAGCAGACAGCAGATTTCCCGATGGTAAGCAATCGACGTCACCCACACGCAACGCCAGCGAAGTTTCGTTGACAGACTTTTGGGGATGTCCGGTGGATTTCCGATAACCTTACTCACACGGCGAAATAAATCGCCTCCTTACGTCTGTTCGAACTGATGGTTATTATAACCATATAGATCGTTATCCAAGAAACTTATTCCAGATATTGTTTTAGGTATTTGCATGTAGCGGAGGAACTAAAAGAAAAATTAGCACAGCTGTTGCATTGCTTGGTGATGCGCCATTAGTGTTCCTCGATGAACCGACTACAGGTACGAGTTCGCATATTGTCTTACGTTCATTTACATTATATTCCTGTCCCAATTCCAGCTTTGAGACAACAGAGGGTCTTCTTAAATATTTCTATGTAAATAATTTTTTGAGGGTTTAAAACCTGGCAAATATGAATATTACTTTTACCGAGTTATATGTACTTTCTATGATTATTTAGACACTAATGAAATACGGTAAAGGAAACCATCGTGAGGAACCTGGACTTATAATTTGTAATTATAAGTTTAAATGAAATAGTCAATCCGCATTGAGCAATCATGGTGATTAATGGACAAACCTTCTCCGTTTGATAAGTTAATTCTGAGGTCTTTGCTCAGCAGGATGAAGGACGAAGCATGAAGAAATTTTCTTATATCTAATATTTTTCTCCAAATAGACTTTAGAGAAAATTCTTTGACTTTTTATACATAAGCTTTTGACATGCATACTTTCACACTAAACACCCACAAATTAAGGACCTTCCAATTTTCCCTCCTTTCCCACTATCCATATATGTATAATTCATCTGCTCATTTAAGCAAGAAATTACTCTATAGCAAATCAATAATCGATATTATCAGGTATGGATCCCGCATCAAAGCGGCTGGTATGGTCATGTATAAGTGAGGCAGTGATAGCGGGGCGCAGTATAGTGCTTACGTCACACAGCATGGAGGAGTGTGAAGCTCTGTGCTCAAGACTCACTGTCATGGTCAACGGACAGTTCTACTGCCTTGGACCCTTACAGCATTTGAAGAATAAATTTTCACAAGGTAATATTAATACGTCACATATTTGCAACTTATTTAGTTGGCTCAAACTAAAAGTGAGTTTCATATATCTGGTTGTTTTTTAAACAAAAACAAATGATTCATTCATTTATAAAACCACGACTCCCTTCCAGATATCTTATTTTATGGCTTTATGGATTTTAGAAAACAAATAACGCCTTTTTTGTTTATTTGCTTAGATATACATATAGTTTTTGTGACTTGTTGGAGTTATACCAATTTCCTACAATTCGACTATAAACTTTTTATTTACAGGTTACACATTAATAGTAAAATGTAAATCCGGCGTGGACAGGGATAATGACGTGATCAAGATCAAAAATTACATCACTGACAACTTCAATGATTCGAAGCTTATGTGAGTATCACATCAGGAACTGATATAAAACGTTAATCATTTTAGACTCGAGTAATAGGTAATTACTCTAACTTTTGTTTCAGCGAGTCATACCTGGGTATCAGTACATTCTACATCAATGACGTCGGACTACCGTGGTGGCGGATATTTGATATTATGGAAGAAGCTCGCAAGCAATTTCCCATAGAAGACTATTCCGTTGCCCAAACTACGCTAGAACAGGTATTCTTACAATTCACAAGAATGCAGGGCAACACGGAGTCTTAAATCCTCAGGAATATTAATTTAAGCGTTAGGTTCAGGGTAAACCACAAGAAAAGAGATCTGAATCGAATTACTACTACGCGCCTAATCGACAATAGATTTTTTAAGTTTTTGAAACAAACAAACTCAATATTATTAACGTCTCGATTTTTATATAAATCTCTAAACTAGTATTATTTGTAACCGATAAGTTTTTACTTTTACATATACTCACGTGAAACTCTGTAATACTTTGTTAGATCGAATGCAAAAAAAAATACAGACATTGAAACTCAATAGTACTTAGCAATGAAAAATACAAATAGTTATTACGACTCCATTTTGAATGTTCAATATTTTTTATGAGAAAATTAAATTTAGATAATTATAGTTACAATTGTACCGTTAAATGTTGTTGTTGGATGTGTTTGGATGTGTATTTAATGCATAAAATATAGTATACGTGACATTGTTCAAAATACAAGCTCTCATAGTTTACCGCATAAAGTTACAAAAATCGCACGCCTCTGCTGAAGAATCGTGTAGTATTGGATTTAGCGGTAAACATTGTACTTAAGACGTTCTTCTCTTTTGGAAGAAACTAATAAATAAAAGCTTTGCGCTAATATTGTATCCTAGAATCAGGCATCAATTGTTCGTAGACTTTTCATCAAGTTAAGGTAAGTCAATGACCTCGCCATTCCAGTTTATGTGCAATAGATATAAATGTATTGTCTTAAAATTCTCTCAAACACTGCAATGATCTGTTATATTTTAAGTTGATAAGTATCGAATATACATTTTATATACCACTGAATCTTACTTAGCTTGTAGATGCAAGTACCCTAAAAAATATTGTCTTTATGTCGTATTCTTTTATGCAATATCGAATTTCATGATAATAGGCGATTTTATCTACAATGGTAATTTGAAACACAAAATCACAGTATTTAATTATGAGGTGCCTATTAAGTACTTATTTTAGTGATATATAATTAATATTATGGTGCTTGTCCTGTTAGGAGAGTAAATAGGTCGTATTATTGCCTTTTTGGCTGCTGCAGTGAGCAATGACTCAAGTAAAAATGTTAGCCGACCTTTTCGTATGTAATTTCATTTCTGTATTCTAAATAATATTTTAATACCAAAGGAAGTCTCAATGAACTTAAAAGATCTAAACTAGGTTTTAAATTTATTATTTATATCAAACAACTTGCCACTATGTTAATTTAACTTCTAAGAACATTTTATATTTATTTTTGTCACAATCTCACTATGATCATATTAATGGAACGTAACTTAAAACAAGCTGAAGTATAGTTTAAACAAGATACCGGGGTCAGTTAGTAATATGTCAGTACCAGTAACAATAATATAACTTGTTCCACGTATACTTGAATAAATTCATCGATATAACTCGGCCCTATTGTTACCAACTGAAAAAACGTAATGGCTGATTCGCGCCAAATTATATTCGGTTTTAGATAATCATAACATTACGTAAAATATAAGCATTAAAATGAAATAATACGAGTACAAAAATATTTTACAGTTTTCTCATTGTATGTAAGGTATATCATTACAAAATATGTGTTACTATTTTTTTATACTTCAACACTATTCTGCATTGATTGGTATCGTATTAGAAATGGATGTTCATTGACGACTATGCTTGTCATTTGATACATAATTTGGTATTGTATACTCCTTTGTTTGCGGTGAATACAAATACATATATGTACAATGTAGCTTCTTCATTGAATTAATTAATGCAATTCTTCATTATGAATGTCAGCTAAGAGCTGAACAGTTATGTATAAAAAAATGTATAAATGTGAATTTGTGTGATATGATTTGTGATCTATTGTGATTTATTTGTGTTAATTATTGCCATTAGCAAAATATATACATATATATTATTATTTATTATTATATAAGGATATGCCCTGTGCTACTGATACATCTGATGCCATTTACAATCAGGGCTTAGTTTAATTTCATTAGTACAAGTTCCTGTGAACATCAAGTATTATTTAAACGAATATTTTTTATACAAATAGATTATAGAACTCATGTGCAGTTTGAAATGCTACTTAATTATTACGCTTGAACAGTATACATTACTTAATTTATGCAACATTCTGGCTTTAAATTATATTGCTATTTCTCTCGGTGTATATTATATATATCATAACGCGGTGTTTGTATTGTGTAGTGTTTATAGACAATTTTTAATAAAACTAAGGATATTTTATCACAATTTGTTTTATTACATTACGACCTATTAACAATCTAACCAACCGCTATACATAGTTTTGCCATAGAGACGACCACTAAAGTTTGACTAGTGAATACTTTTTTTTAAATATCAGAACGTATATTATGTAGACGTCCAATTTCATATTTGTTGAGGGTTTTCGTTACACATATTCACACACTCACACATTCACATATAATAAAAATAAGGCGACAAACACCGTCGCCTAGGTCACCGCCCGACCTGAACCAAACCCGAGCGTGCGACGCGTTAGTCTAGCACCACAAAGAGCCACAGTTCACCACCACATCTACACACAACACCAGGGATCTTCGAGGGCCAATGTCTAGCTGGAGTTGTGGATACAAGCGCAATGATGTGGTTCGGAGAAAAGACGGGTTGCTTTTAAATCGGTAAGAGTCGGACAAACCCTTTTTCCTTACCCAGGACGGAACAATGATTTCATTGAATGATTTACCAACTGAAAAAGGCACAATCGCCTTATGATTATACAAATTATTGACACCATAATATTAAGCACTTCTTAAAAGACCAGATTAGTTTTAGTTGTGTTACGCTAAAATGCTATCCGCGAAAAGCCCAAAAAACAAACCTTATTAAAATCAATGCGCCTCTGCGGTGCTCACCAACATTACACACTTTTTTTTTCGGCAGACACCCGCAACGGAGGAGTTACGAATGTGTTACCGACCTTTTAGGGATTAGGGATTTGGAGATTTCCAGATTGGGGGAGGGCAAGGATTTGGCCTCCGGTAACCTCACTCACACGGCGAAACATAACACTGTTATTATTTCACGCCCGGTGTTCTGTGAGGCCGTGGTATCACTTCGGTCGAGCCGACCCATTCGTGCCGAAGCATGGCTCTCCTACACTTGCACCATAATCTACTATGATTGTAACTTGCTACGGTGTAGCAATTACTACGGCCTACAATATCGTGCTACGGACTTAGAAAAACGGGTCTTTATAATAAGAGAAAATAGGTGATTAAGCATTATTAATGATTAACGACATCGTATGATCCGTACATATTTATTTATTGTATTATTATTTATCTTATCCGACAAACAGTTTGATCAGTTATGCGTTATAAATATATTAAATTTAGAACTTAAAAAAGTTTTTACGAATAACACACATCACAAACACTTTATACTAAATAACTACAGATTTTTGGTAAGAAAGTAAAAAAGTTTAAATATAAGTAAATAACAATTTCCATATTAGGCACATATTATTTACATCAGCTTAAAGAGTAATTTAGGCGCATGGTAAGCGCTTGAGCATAATATTTTGTAAACAATATTTCATACACATATAATAACAGATTAAAGGATATATACATTTAATACTTTTCAATTAAAACCAAATAAGTTGATAAGGGGCCAGAAATGGAGAAAAAGTTGCAAAAAAAATTTCATTTGTATGTTTGCACACGCTAATCTCCGAAATTATTGGACGGATTTTAATAAAACTGCTTAGGAGCCTAGGCAACGTGATAGTAAAGTTTGTGTTGAAAATGGAACGAAGAAAATCATCCTCATCCTAAACTCACAATTTCTACGAAAGAAGCAACCGTAACAATTAGCTTTCTACATGCAAACGTAAACAGGAAACAGTTTATACAAAATCGTTAACTAACGTTGTAAAAATACTTTCATTGACATTTTCTTGTCATTAGAATTTGTTTAATACTAATAATATTTTTAAATCTACAAAAGCGATATTAATAGTGGGGTACAACAGCAAAATGACTTAACAACCTTATATAGTTTCTCTTTCGCTATTTTTCGGAACGAAATATTCTTTACAAAAGGTCATGGAATGTCATTCAAATTACAACTAGTATATACATTATTTACTCGTAAATCAGATACATACAATACTTGACACTGTGACTTGGACAATTTTATGTACATAGAAACAAACAAACTTGTATAAAATACATCATGACACGAAAATGGTTTTTTTACTTGACCATATCCTATATTTAGTTATAAAAGACATATACATATAGGTACTATCATACATATATCTATTTTGACATCTCAATTCAATAATTATCCTATATTTCTTTATTAAAAATCTCGTGAGACATATTAAATTGATTATTATGTTTTACGGCTTACTCACGTAATTCTTTGAGGAGAAAGACTAGTTTCGAGCCACGCGTCATATTCATAAGCAGCGCGTCGAATGTAGAATCTCCGAAAGATAGGTACTATGAGTTCCTCGCTAAACAGCTACAAGAGTAAACCGGTCAACATAATTATAATTAATTTACCTAACTAAGCATTTGGGTTTCCAGCCCAAATTTAAACTGAGGATATGGGAAAATGGTTCTCGTGTACAAGCAGAAACGAATGTGTTTTTTGTTTTCTTAAAATTAGTAGATCAACTTTAAGTAATGCAATCTTAAACGTCAGTAATGACTTGGCCACATTTATATCGACTAGAGCGAGACTCATTTGTGACGTAAGATTGATTGAGAAGGAAATAACATTGCACTGCATTTATTCTGATATATGAAGTTATACATTCATATACTATATTACAAGAGAGCATTTCCCCGAATCATAAGATCCCTAATGAGAGGGATGTTATAGTAAATTACCTTTAACTAAAAAACAACAGTTCGCTATAGTGATTCGCCTGCCTGCCGCTGGTACTTAGTAAACTGTAGGAATATTTGTTCTAATGTGGTTTGTGAGATGCTGTAGTCTTCGATCTCTAAGTCCCTTTTAGCGCGCTCCATGACACCGAACATGCGCGACCACGCCATACTCCGGTCTGGTAGGTAGTATGTCAGGAGACCCTGGTACTCCTCCCTGCATAACAAAACATTTAAATCAATTCGTATCGTAAAAACATAATTGTAATACAAAATACTCGAAAACATTCTACTAATTTGACAAATCCTATATTTCGTAGCAACCGCCTACGGCGTAGCATTTTGCTACAAGATTTTTATTAACCCCTCTAATCTTTGAACTGATATAAAGACGATACGATTAATATCTTGTGTTTTAACGATTTAGTATTATTTACTTACCTTTAAATAATTTGAATTTGTGTGAGGCATAAATAAATAAATAATATAAAAAATTACATGCACTTACATAATACGCGGATTCTGGAAATTTTGACCAACGTATTCTTTGATGGCGTCCACTGTACTACGTGAGCTGTTTATCGATGCAGTGTCATTGTCTCTATCTTCCATTTTCATTTTAATAATCAACGTGAAACCTGAAATTCATAAAAATATAGGACGGTTAGAAATCACGTGGTACACAAAAATAGACACGTCATTGTCAGCATTATTTCAAGTGCTGATCCAGTTATTGCCACCTGGTGTAGATAAGCAATCGAAAATTGATACTTAAACATCGAGATAGGCTTATGTAACTTGTGAGATAAACGTGTGATATCTGTTTAGGTAATGATCGATAAACATTGTTCTCGTACCTTCCGAATATTTGTTCTTGAGATGTTGCGGCGTGCCGAAACACTGGAATCGTCCGTTGACCATGATTGTGAGCCGGGAACACAGAGCTTCGCACTCCTCCATGCTGTGTGACGTCAGCACTACGCCACGACCAGCACGTTGTACGCCACGCGTGGCTCGCCATACCTATTTCAATTTAAAAATGCAATCTCATAAAATGTGCAGCTTATGAGATTTTCATGTTTTGACTTATTGTTTGAGGAGGAGAGATTGAGGAGTTTTTATAGAATCATGATTCAGATACAAAAGTGTCTTAGTATATCATCCGGCTTCATCTAGTTTTTCACATATAATTTGACGTGTAAAAGTGCCGTTTTATGGCCTATTTGCAAAAATAAATTCATTGTTTCATTGTATCCCCAATTCCGCACAAAAATGTACTTATATGAAATATCAATAGTGTTATAGATACTAAATGTATTATGTTTACGTATGTTGTTATAGTATAATTCTATGTTTACGCACATGACGTTTAGCAGCAGGATCAACTCCAGTTGTAGGTTCATCTACAAACACGAGACGTGTTCGCCCCAGGAACGCTATCGCCGTGTTTAACTTTCTTTTGGTTCCTCCAGAATATTGATGTACCTGCAATGATGTAAAGGAAATACTTTAAATGACGTACATAATAAAGTAGATTAGTTATCTGCCATATCTCGGCTTAAAAATTAGGCATAATTAAGTCTTTGTGCAAATAAAGTTTTAATGCGTTATTTACCCTTTTGTCCAGATGTTTGAGGAAACCTAGTGAATTTGCAAATATTTCAGCTGTTGGTGCAGCGCTGCGTAGACGGAGTCCTTTCATCATAGCAAACATGTGCAACGTCTCACGACCCGTTAGTTCACCAAACAATGCATCGAACTGGGGACAATAACCTGTAACAAACGTACAGAGGGAATATGAACTCTATTATGACGATGATATTGAACAAAATTGTAGAAAACATATTGATCTCTTATAAGTAGATATACTTACCGATATTTTGATGTACTTTGCCAAGATCTTTTTCTACGGAGTGTCCACTAACGAACGCCTCTCCGCTTGAGATAGACTCGTCACCCATTAACATCTTAAAGGTGGTCGTCTTACCAGCACCGTTCACACCCAATAGACCGAAACATTCACCATCATTAACACCTAAAAAATATTAAACATTAAATAAACCTATTTAATAACATTGAAAAAAATATCACTGGAAATTATAGGCCGTTTGTTAGAGGCGAAACTTACCGAATGAGATTTGATTAACGGCAAGATGTTTCCCATAGTACTTGGATAGATCGTTAGCGATCAGCGCGTGCGTGGAGCGCTGCGCCGGCGGCACGCTGCGCGCGCGCTGCGCCTCGCGTTGCACGTCCTCGTCCAGTGTACTCTCGTCTAGTGGCGGCGGACTCTTCTTAACTGTACACAGCTGCAATCAAAGAAAAAAGTTAATATTTAGAAGAACATTTTAATATATTTTTGTTACAATTTCAAAACATTTTATTTTTGTTACATGTTCATAATAAAGCGTAACGGATAGTCACTTTAAAATAATATTACAAACCTTCTGGAAAACTCTGTACTCGATTATCATGAGAATTGTCCAGAACGCAATGCAGGATGCAACCATACATGTCAAGTACCGCGATATACCTGGCTGATTCCAGTTGAAGTGCGCATTCGGTTCGACTGTAACAATAATATTCAAACGTCAAAATATCTCCTAATACTATATCAGGCTTCTGATAGATTCAGCCGGGGTTACGGGGAATACGCAATGTGGTACGCCTCGGTCTAGAGCTTTAAAAGGAACGGGGTGTTGTTAGTCAATAAGAACCTGACTCTTCCTTTTGCCGTGCCCTAGGCGAGAAAAGTCCTTGGATAATTTTCCCTCCTCAAAAATTAGGGTTCTAATAGTTGAATATAAGGTGGATTGATTTGCAACAAAATCTCCTTACCACAGCATTCTTCGTTGCGTTGACATAAGTTCTCCATAGTGCACTGAAGGTTCGGGTTCACAGCTTGATAGTATTCGCACATTTGAAGACAAGTGTATTCACGCAGGCCAGCTTGGTTTAGAAATCTGAAACAATAGGTATTACTTAAATATAGACAGATAGACACACCTTACGAAGCCACATGCTCACTTTTAAACTACGGGCCCCACTCATGCTCGAAATTTGTCAAGCAAAAAACCGCTAAAAAAAAGGTTTATTTTTGTACGTTTTACAATACTTTGTTTAACGTTGGATCTTAAAGAGAGGTTTACTAGACGTACCTGACAGCAGTAATTAAGCTGTAGAGTGGGAAGAACTGCAATATGTAGTCGAGTATGTTGGCGGCCTCGGCTGTGTTCAGCTGAGGAGAGGACAGCGCCTCCACCACTTGTGCAGCCATCATTCCTGATATACAAAGATCCATGAATACAAGCGTGCAACTAATAGTAACTTATAACGTACAAGAATATATAGATTAAATTCATCTTTAAACAACGGATGACTTTCTCGAATTGTGCATAACATTTTAGAATTTCTATCACTGAATTTAAAGATTATTTTACATTGAATGTTACTAACCAAAAATTACGTTCATAAAATAGTATCCCACGAAGCCGACAGCAGGACCGTTGAACGCAAACGACATGATGTATACTAGCGGTAACATTGCAGCACCATATAGCATTACACACAAGTACATTCGACCTGAAAACAATAACAATAATACGTATAAAAATAGGATTCTATGTACTATCTCCTCATTGGCATGGTATCCGGAAGCATGCGCGCTAAGCACAAGGTCTGTGTTCCAACACCGTCCCGCGAACTGAGAAAAATAGTCATTCAGTAAGATGTTAAAGATACGTAGGTTTATATTTAAAATGGTTGATCTAAGTGCAGAATTCCAAACAGCATTCATTTAAATGAAACCTAAGTATCTCATTACTTCTGTACATGAAATCAAATTTTACTATTGAGTTCGTATGTGAAATACCAGGGTGAGTTCTGTACACAATACTTCTCACTATAGACTACATATTTTCATTGATATATCCTATCCCATATTACAGCACAGAAATAACAAAAAAATAATTACCTAATTCTTGAGCAGTGGATAACCCAACAACTTGGAAGGCGGCGCACGTGACTACTATGGAAACACAAGTAATTAGGAACCACGACCAGTTGAAGACAGCAGCACTACCCCATAGCACTTCTGGTCGAACCCCAGCGGCCTTCTGTAACAGCTTCGCGCCAGATGTACGCTCCTGCAAACAAAACATCAATGAGTAAAGAGTCTAAGTGCACTTCCACTTCCACTTCAATAATTGTTTTATCATATCCTAAAAGGACCCGAATTTGGAATAACTTACTCACGATAAGCCTCTCGAAACGTAAGCCTGTAGGTAAAGGCTTAGTTTTTATTCAATTAACGGTATGTTGCAAAATATGTATATTCATTGAAAGTTATTAGGCACTGCCATATTTCTTACCTTAATAAAGAACATGATGAATACAGCACTAACGATACTGACGCTGCTGCCGATACCAGAAGACAACTGCATAGAGAGCATGGTAATCATCATCTGCATGTCCGACTGAAATCATTCAAATTGCTTACTTAATTATCCATTTAATGAAACAGCTGAATCATTTTCGTCGTTAGTCAAGTAATTGCAAGTGCAAGAGGTTCCATGTTTAACTCTGGGGTCAGGCATAGTACTCTTTTTTTCGGTATTCCTTTTCGAAATTCTCTATAACACAGTTCTGAATCTGTACAATCGTACCCTACCTTACTTGGGACACAAAACGTAAGATTTTAATTCTGTCTTCTATATCAATCAATTCGTATTTCACGAACTCCATTTACTTACCTGATCTTTATAAGTAGCCTCTAATGGATGGTTGTAAACGTTCAGCTGGGCGCTGGAGTTGAATGCTCTAAGAATAGCCGAGTGCAGTGTAGCTAGAGATATAGCGACATCGTGGTAACCGAAGTTACTGAACCAAGCTGTCGCATTGTTGTCGTCGAATGTGGAACCAATCAATATCTGGTGACGCAACTGCCCCAACATCACTGGATCCATCGTCTGAAAACATAAGACAATACATTTTAAAAATTTCTATTGGTATATCACATTAGATAACATTTATAGAAATCGCTCTTCGATCTTCAAATAAAATAAAGATTACAATTTTTGACTAGCTTACTTGTCTTGACTAGAATACTATATGTATTGTTGTATATTTTGATATCCACTTACCCTATTTAGATAATACTGTTCAACAGGTTCTCTACCAATGCGAGTCAAGCCCATGTTCGCCACGTCAGAGGCTGCGAACAGTATCTCATAAGCTGTTGCCGCGAGAGCGCCGACAGATGACGCGACAGTACCGTTGTAACTTAACAGAGTTTCTGTGTTTGTGAACCTGGAAAATGGTATAGTCGAACTGTAAAACATATCTTCAGTTCTTTTACATGAAAAAAAATACAAGATACATTCAATCCTTAAAGCACAACCGACCGTGAGTCGACAATTCAGTCACTGAGTATTTGCCTTGGTTGCGGGCAAATGACTAGCGCCATAATAAATTGCGGCCTCGGCCTAGAGCAGCAGAAGGAAGGAGGTGGTTTTTGGTCAGTAAGAGTCTGATACTTATTTTTGCCCAACCCAGTGTTAGAGAAGTCATTCGATAATTATGCCCTCGACAAAATGCCGACTAAATAGCAACTGATTCTCTTCTTCAGTCGCACCATTAAATTTAAAATAATGGAGTGACAATTTTGTTGTGTTACGTCACAAAAAAACGACAACTCAGAATCTGCACTTTGATATTGACATAATCTAATCTCTTTCACATTCCAAACGTGAAAAGTTGTGACTCACCCTTCAGCCAATGATAAGAATCTTGATTTTATAGTTGGGGTTAAGGCCATGACGTATCTCATAACTCCAAGCGTGGCATTGATGAGTACGATGGGAGCGCAGAACTGTAGGATCATTAACCAAGGTGAACGAATCAGTACCAATCCCTTCTTCATCCACACCGCTAGTACTTGCTGACATAGCAATCGGAAACCAGACAGACTGCTTTCGTCTCTATCCACTGAAAAGGAAAATATAGGTTATTAAATGAATAACTACTATTCTTACAGGACTCGGAATTATATCGTTCCTCATAGTACAGAAACTCACGTTCTTCTAAAGACGAATCAAGTTCATTTTTTAAAATGTCGTCAATGGTCGAATCCGTCGTAGTTGTCACGGCATCGTCATTTTCTGAATTCGTTACAGGTGCCAAGTCTGAGCCAACTCTGTAAAGCAAAATAATTTATTTTATTAGTAAATTTCTAGATATATATTATTAAGTAGATATATATATAAATAGTTACTTACGACATAAACACATCCTCCAAAGTGGTAGCAATTAAACCATAGTTTTTGAATTTAATTGTCTCCATATTCCTTTCCAAATCGTTAAGCATGGCTTCAAAAGTGTATGAATAATCGTTGATTAAGTTATAAGTAATTTCCGTACCTAGAAAAAGACATTTCAAATATCATGAGCCACGTCTAATTTTAGGCTATTTAAGTAACTGTAACATCATATCTAGGTTAAGTATTAGCGAGGTTCATTTAACACAAACTTACCGCGGTCTTCCTTGACAATAGTGTCTGGAATGTATTTATTTATAAGTGCGGTACATGCTTCGAAATCAAAGTCATCGTCCTTAACAACCACAAGCGTATATCCAACGCCGTAATGACGTTTCAGGAAATAAGGTGAACCCACACACTGCAAGCGACCTTGCGCCATTATGGCCACTCGGTCACCGAGAATATCAGCCTCGTCCATGAAATGCGTGGTCAAGATCATCGAACGACCTAAATTTAATAGAATTTATTAGAACAACAGTTCAGTTTAAACATTTACTTAATTTTTTTTTTATTAAATATCTGGATATGTTACCTTTCTTCTCCTTCTGCAGAAGCTCCCAAAGTGCTCGTCGAGAAGAAGGATCCATTCCTGATGTTGGTTCATCAAGTAGTACCACACGTGCTGCTCCACTCAAAGCTATTCCAACACATAAACGCCGTTTTTGACCTCCAGACAAACCATAAGAAGGAAAGTCTCGCTGTAAAAATTGAAATCACAAGTGTATTGTTGAAAAACACGTAGCGCATTTACTGTCTTTATCTATATAATGTATCAATAAACCTACCTTGTCTTGCAGTTCCAATTTTTCGATCAAAGAATCAATCTCAGCCTTGAGCTCCGCTCCGTGGAATCCTTTCAACCTGGCAAAGAATTCCAAATGTTCTTTGACAGTGAGTTCGTTAAACAATACGTTGTGTTGGGGACATAAGCCGATATGGGCACGAGCTGAAGAACTTTCGTGTGTCATATCATATCCAGCAACAGTCACAGAACCACGGGTTACCTCCAAATTGCCTACAAATAAAAAAAACAGTAAGTAAGTAAAAACATCACATTTAATACACTTAAATTATTTCCGCATACGTAACTCTAAAATTGAGTCGTTTTGTAGACCTTCAATTATGTTTAACCTAGTAACATTATCTACATTAAAGCTAGTGGGCTAGTCTGCAATAATATGATTGCATACGTGTTCCGTTGTTCGCCTAAAGCAGATGTCACAATTGATGTGCACCCACTCTATTACGTAATTTAACCTTACCTCCCTATTTCTTTAATTTCATGAAGTTATCTCATACCGACACGCCCCAAGCAGGCAACTGACAACTTATTTATTTCACCAAAGTATTGTCTCCAGTTTCAAAAATTAATAAACTGATATTTAGTTGCTTGGGGACTAACTGAAAATTCTGTTTGTATTGTTTATTATACTTATAGTCGATACAAACGAATAAAGCAATTCGTCCTTAGATAAATACTTGTGTATAGATACGTGTAATCAATGCTCAAATTAAATAAATATTACAAACCTGTCAACATAGATATCGTAGTGGATTTTCCAGCGCCATTGTGCCCAAGTAATACTGTGATTTGATCGTCATAAATGTTCAAGGACAAGTTATTGACCGCTGTATTAGCTCCAAATATTTTTGTTAAATTCTGTAAGTAAGGTATATATTTAAGGATATTTACACCATAATACACTGCGGGGCGGAATGGTTTTCCTTTTTGGTATATACTTACATTTATTTTAACACCCACGTTGTGGTCAATAGGTTCTTTTTCTTTTATTATATCTTCAAAATCACTGTTTTCATTTTCCAAAACTAAAACTGAACCTCAAAAGAAAACAAGAATAATTAGTAGAGTTTCCAAGAGTAAATTCAATTACATGTAGAAAAATCATAAGGTATTCACCTGATTTATAATTAGGGAACCAAAATCGCAACTGGAACGGGAAGTACCAACGTTTGGGCGTGCCAAATGGTCCTGGCAGCACTTGTTCGAGGTAGAGGGTGATCAGCATATAGAGGACACAATCCACTACCAACATGATGACCACGTGACCGAAAACGAAGCGGGCAGACTCCGTCCCTGGTGACGCCATGAACTCGCCCCACTGCAAGCCTAATAGAGGGAATACGAACAATGAGCAATTTAGCACTTAGACAGTCGCTATGTGTGTATATTGTTCCCCAGTTCTCCTACGTTCATAATGTAGATACAGCAAGGCATTATCATACAGTATTGCGTAAGTGATTAGGTTTGTTCTAAAGTAATTTAGTGAAACCTACTTATAATGCTTCTCTCCGTGTTTTGTACATATATAACACAGTACGAAATTCAACTTGAAATTTTTACCAGCTCAATCGGTACACAAAAAGAAATAAATATTCCATATCTTAACCCATCATAATATACTAGGAACATTTTCAAATTTTTTGACAACTCACCTCCAGTACTTTCCCTGGCAAGCAACAACTGGAATCCGTAAGACATCGCAGAGTTAATACTGAGGCATGTGAAGACCTGGACTGCGGTAGACATGTTGATATCCATTGCCAGGAGGAAGGCAGGGATGTATGTGAGGAACCAGACGACAACAGTACACAAGGCTGCTGTACTAGCTACATAAAATAATAATAAAACATTACATTCTCTCTATTAATTTAAAGTAAAATAACAAGCTAAAGAAATGACATTGAATATTACCTTTTGAGAAAAAGCTGCTCATCATAAAAGAGAAAAATATCGTGCAAGTTAAGTAGAGCATCATGAAAAACATCAGAACTGTCCATGGAGTGTTTGTAAACACTGCGTACTCACTAAAGCCGTCCTCGTTTGTAAACCAATTTATCTAAAAATGAGAAACAAAGTTATGAAACAAATGTAACCGGATTAAAAAAAATAGAATAAAAAATAAAAAAAAAAATATAAAAATATCTCTAGTATAAAAACTTACCTTTAGAAGTATTACTGTAAGACTTGCGGAAACCAACAAAAAAACAAACTGTTTACAGGTCCATGCCGTCCAATGCAACCACGTAGGGAGACCCATAATTTTCATAGTTTCCTAAAAAATAACAAAAACATTAATTACTATAAATTTCATTAGATCTATTTACAGATATTTTTCTATTTTCTGTTTGAATATACCTTCAGTTGCAATTCCTTTTCTACCGTGACTGCTCTTGTAATGTTGATTGCAGTGTAACTGAAGCTCAACATGATGAACATAGGGAACATGAACTGCAAAAGGTCAAGTGCCATATCCTTGATGTAAGGTGGGTGAGGATATCTCTGTAGGTACACTCGGAACTCACTCATATCCACTCCAGTGGATCTCGATATTAATTCGGTTGAAATGACTTGTTGTAGCGCTATGAACATTTCGTTTACGTAGCCTGTACACAAAACAATTTATTAAATAAACAGCAATAATGGTACAAACAAGTATTATATTATTGTATATTCAATATTTTCTTATTTCGGACATGAGAATATACTCCAAACAAGTACTTTAAACGATTGATTAAGTACAAGGCATAATTAAAATAGTTGTTACCTGGGTCGTTGCCACCTTCCCAAGACTTAGAAAAACGGGGACCAGGTGTTTCGAAAATGGGGAAAACGGCGTCTGTTCTCCATGTGCGACCTCCAGTTTGGAAAAATGAATTGAGACGAGGTCGCTCGGGGAACCTCAGAGAGTATGATAAGTTATTGGACAATGCTTCTGCGCCTAAAATCAACAAAATATTTCAGTAGGAATAAACACGTCGACATATGAATAGGAAAAATAATGCAATCAGCGTAACCAACCGTATAGTTTATCGTCAAACTCTATGACCGCTAAAACTTTACGTGTATTTTCTTCTTCTATATAAATTCCTCTTGTTTCGTGGCTATTTTTGTAAGATTGTATAGTTATGCGAGATTTTATCCAGTCGATAATGGCGGTGGAATTTATTTCGACATTAGGCGGTAACTCTATTTCTACTGGTAAATTAGCAATTAAATCTTCCATATTATATATAAGTAAATTGGAGACTGCAGTTTTAACTACATCTTCTAATACTGGACTTTCTGGTGAGTAGGCAATGGATAATTCACGAAAATCCATTCCGCCCCTGTAAAAAAACGTTCAGTTTCAGAACAATTTGCATCATGTTTTTATCTCAGTACATTAATGCAGAGCAAATTCTGTATTGTAAAGCCTTAAGTAAATAGCGAAGCGTGTGAACTGATTACACTAAAATTACAGAAACGTTGTGTGCCACCATGATGAGAAATAAACATGAATGATAAACTGGTGACGAATAATATAATTTTAAGGTTAACATTAACTAATTCACGTCATAAATCTACGAAGGTGCAAGATTCGTTAATCCTCAAGATTTTGTACCTTGAATCAAAACACTAGGTAGGCCTCATCAGTGGACGGAATTTAGGGGCTGATTTTGATGGTGATGATGATGATGATGTAGTTGTAATTAACATGAGAACTGTAAAACCAAATATTGAATATGGTAAAAATGTTGAGAAGTGAAATGCAATGGAATGAAATAACACAATTTTAGATAACTTACAGTACAGGTCCGGAGAAGTTGAGTGTGTGTGCTCTGATAGGCGGATAGGTGAGAGTCTGTCTTTCTGACGGCTCGACCTGCCATCGAAGAATAAGCACCAGTGTCATGGTCAGGACTGGAAGTAGTATTTCGAAAACTGTTTGCATTCTGTGCCTCCATTGCTGTAGGAAGTTCTTCCACATCAGCAGACGGAACTTTGTGATGGCGCTGGCCTGCTTCGGTACCAGCCTCATTTTCAAGGCGATGGCGTCTGCCTCCTGCACGTTACCCAAGAGCAACAGTTAGTTAATAGTTTCATTGTTTCAAACACATTACTTAATTAGGTACTCATATTTTAAATTCGTTCTTTCATTGTTATCACACAATTCGATAAGCTTAATTTTCTTCCTGATTAAGCATAAATTAGAGATTAACAGATAATATTAAAAACGTATTTACTTATACAATAATTCTTTTTCACGTGTTCTTGAGTGGTGATTTCGTAATGTAATGCGAAAAAATTAATGCGTCATGACTTGTCTTTAAAAACTAGCAATACACTTAATTACCGAACTTGAAAAGTTCAGTTACCTGCAATAAATTGTATCACAAATACAAAGCAATAAAGTGTATTTTTATTTTCCTAATTACTACTATCTTTAGCGGATTACTACTTCCATTAGAGGCTATTACATTTTTAGGGACCTTTAAATAAAAAAAGTTTCCTTAAAAGTATGCATTAAGTACTTTTAACATGTTTAATCAGGTATTTTGAAAAATTCTCTGTATATATCAGATCGTTTTCATGTTAAAAAATATGATATGACAAGGATACGATTTATTTTAATTGCTTAACAGCTGTATGTATCGCTCATAGCAATATCATCCGGACAATCTAAGGGTAGATAAAACTTGAATGAATTGCTAATCGTTGAGTCTTAATTACTTACACATAATCATTATTACTTAGGTACCTACATATACATAGGTACATATAGTTACAATCATATATAGGTACCTAAGTTAAGTTAGCTAAGTTCGAAAAACAGTAAAATCAAAACAACGCAAGTAATAAAAATTGTTATACCACGTAAGATATGACAGGATCTTGTATATCTACCTTATCACGAATGTCACATAGGCATTCTTAAGATTGACATATTTATTGATTTCAATCTTTATACTGATTCCCTATTCTATTTCATCTCCGTTATTTAAAAAAAAATTACATATATTCTAGGATTAATATGTATGTACATAGTTGTGTTTACAAATTTTACATAATATAAACAAATTGTTTAAAAACACATAAGCGTGGCTGCTGTATTTGCGTAATATTTTAATTGAAACAGAAATGAACAGGTAGTTATATTAAAAAAATAACTCGATATCTATAAAATATTGTGGCACCACACTAGTCTATAGACGTTACTAAATACCTAGTAATAATTAGGTATATTCATAAAATGGTAGTATATAGTTGCACTCAAAATGCACCAAACGAACTTAATCAATTGAACTTCATGGTAAGTACAGCAAGTACTAACAAGAACTGCTGTAGTTGAAGTGTTGTATAAACAAGCACTTGATATAAAATTGAACAAAACGTGACTTTGTTTGGGGAAGTCTCCCTGAACTGTGTAGGTATACATACTTCCCTACACTATTATCAGGTGCAAACTCACTCTACTCAAAAAGAGAATCACGTTACATGTAGATATGTTGTTATAAGTATGTAGAGATACGTTATATGTAGATGTAGGTATGTGTTAACCGCGAGTATATTTCTAACTAATGGTACTTATTTATCGTCTGACAAACGCATTGCAAATGTGATTCCAAGTATATATGTAGTTCACACCATGATTCGATATTTGGTTAAGGTAGGTATTTTTCATAATTTTCTCGAAACATGCCCGTTAAGTTTACTATTTTACTAAGTAGTAATTACATTAATAATTGTATTTTGAGCAAATTGAGTAAGTAGATTTTTAAATTTCGTAGCAGTTTCGTAGCACATTTCCTGAGAAAACTGTGCCTACCTAATTAATTGTACTCGTAATAACAAATGTTTGATTAAACATCGTATTAATTTTTTATGGTTAACAAGTCTTTTATTGTAAGTATCTGTGTATTTGACATTAGGTATACAATATTATTCATTAATTTATCTATACTAATATTATAAAACTGTAGAGTTTATTTGTTTTAACGCCCGAATCCCCGGAACTACGAGTTCGAATTGAACAATTCTTTTTGCGTTTGTTAGTCAATTTATCGAAGAAGGCTATAGGCTATAAAATATTACGCTACGACATGAAGGAGCCTAGCAGCGGGAGAAACCGCGGAACAGTAGCTAGTCAGAAGAAGCCTTTTCACACGGAGAACATTAATGACCGGATTAAACTTATAATTAAAAATTATAAATCCATGTCTCCTCTCTTCGTTTAGAAAGTAGATCACACATAAATCGGGAAATGGCACGTTGCTACCAACCAGATTTCAGACCTGCTTCGTCTTCTGCTTGAAGTGCGCACATAGGACATATCTTCAAGCATTACTTAGGTAATTTGGCTTTGAATATATCAATATTTTGCTGATTACTTCTAGATTTCATTATCGCAATGACGCGCTAAAGAAACAGAAGATAATACGTGCAGAATTATGTATTTAAATATTACTTAAGCTTAATTTCAGTTTTTACATTACCTACTGGGCACATGTATACAATAAACTCCTAAATAAACCGAATATTTAATTCACACTGCATCCCATCTATGAAACTCTAATAATTAAATTAGATAAGGTACATTATTTTCACCAGCAAACTATAATGTGAATCTTCTGATTGTCGACTTTTGCTCATTCGGATGAAGAAAGCAAAAAATATTATATTTACGCCGAATTTGTTTTTTGTACAACCATATACTACGAGTATATGTGAGTACTATAAACTAATGCCATGATGTCACTTACCTAATCTACTTTCATGATATCATTATCAATTTGTCATAGCAAAAATGTTTGACATTATCCTTTTTGCCACGCATGACGCTTGTCTTAGGAGCACGTGTCGGATGCGAGTCGGAAATACTAACTGAAAGCTTGAGTAGGCACAGCACTGTTTACTTTTTAATATAGGTAGGTACAGTAAAGTTTTAAACTATGTCGAAAAATATTAATATCTAATTGAATTAACACACAAAAAAGACTGAGAATGGGCCCTATAATGCAGATGAGTCAGGTTTTCGGGCGATCTTTTACACAATCCTCAATGTATCTTTGTTCTCAACGGAAAATAGTCCCTTTTCTACGCAGTTTTTTAATATAACAATAATTCGCTAAAATAGTTAGTTACTTCGATTAGTCTTTAAATATTACATTAAAGTAAGAAAATCACTTACCAAATAAAGGAATGAGCGGAACTCTCCAAATTGAAATAGAAAAACCGTGAAAACTTATCTACGACACATAATGTACCTGTACCAATCTTATCTCAAGATTAAATGGTCATAGATTTACTTATTTTTGTAAAAATAATTGTTAGTAAGTACTTCTAACTAATCTTGTATCAACTAAGGCACAAATGATAATGTTATAAGTAACCTAACACTCCGAATATGCCCACCCAATATCGTCACACACCTAATTAAAATTCGACAGAAGATATCACCGGAAAGGCAAAGTGCTACTTCAATTCATAAGCCAAATAAATGCTAGCGTACTTATAAGTACCTAATTTAAATATAACATTTATCACGCTAATCAGTGTTATCAATTTACACAAACGATTATGTTTGTCTAAATCATGAGTCAGACTCATGTTTTTTTATCAGAAGAAACTCAAAAAAACAGCAACAGGGATTTTCTAGGGAGTGCTTTCTCTTCCGGACTGAAAGTCGCGTTTGTCGTTACACTATAAAAGTAAAATCAGTCTGTAACCATTAATTATCGATTCAACCCGAAATTTCACAAAATATTTTATACTGATACGGAACTTATCAAAACACTAACGAATGCTGTTCTGATGAGATTTTTTTACAACACGAAAGATAACGTTAATCCAGCAAAATAGACTTGATAAGGTTTTATATCCTGGTCTAGAAAATGCTGAGCTGTGCGCTCCGCAATATGTACGTACGTGGCTGATCTCCTCTTTAGTTATGAATGGGAGGAAAAGGGTTTTCGTTCTTCTAGAAGGATTGGGGATAGTTCTCTATGAGCTTGAGCTTTGAACTCCTATTTAGTAGCGGTCCATAGCTTTGTTTAAATCTTCCTACCCCGCTAGCCTGCTCCTCCCTTAGCCAAAAACAAAGTGGCTCCTAGCTGCATGTCAGTATGTATGCTTAGAACTATAAAATTACGTGACAGATTTTGATAGGATATTTTTTATAAATGGAATCAATCAAGAGGGAGCCGTCGCGAGCAGAAGGTAGGTAATAGGCAGTCTATAATAATATGATGGCAGGTGCATCACTTTCTGATGACTTAACAATAAAGAAGAGTGAGAGTAGTTTCAAATAATACATTTTTATCAAAACATGATAATAACTGCGTCAGTACTTAATATGTTTAGGCGATTAATGACGATATTGCGTAGGTGGACTCATTTGTTACGAAATTTTATATTTTGCACTTTTGATTATGTGTAAATAGATAATTTTAATAAGGAACGTGCACTTCAAAATAGTGTAAGTATATAATTTTACCTACGCGTTCCTTTCGACCTTATTGTAATAAATAATATAAATGAAATTTTAACTGAAGTGCCTAAAATGTTCTAAGTTTCTAGCGACAAGACGATGGACTAAAGGAAAACGAGAACTTTCATTCTTAAAACATACATTATTTACAACTAGTGACCATTTTATAAGTAGGTAGTTACGAAAATCCAGCTCAAAGTTCACACACGAAAAGAAAATTTTCAAAGTCCCATAATTCGGCTTAGAACACAATCTTACCTTGTATATTTTTGTAACGAATTATATTTAAACAAATAATGTCACTTAACAATAAAACAATACGACATGTTCACTCGTCAATGTTGTACTGGCAGAGAAATATAACATACCCGATATCTACATAACAGATAAGGAATCTGCTAAAGATAATGGCCTCCTGATCGATACAAGTACTATGCGTGGTGTCTATATATTTATTTTATTTAAGTTGTAAATTACACTAAATTTTATCAAGATCTTGTGGTAAACAGGTACCTATTCGTCCCTATTATATTAACCATGGTTTTACTTGTGACTTTATTAAATTCTGTTGCCCTTAAGCCACTGCTAAACAATAGACTGTCTGTCCCACATGTGGATGGGGTTGCAGTATACCAAAAAATACCGATATTTTACCTGTTATATCTGTCACCAAACTAATAAGGATTGATGTCTTCCGTTTCCACGCTCCACGACCAAGGAGTAAGGCTGTATACATCATATCAGTTCAATAAGGAAAATTGTTTATTGATACCTATTAATATCTTTGTTTACCACATTTTATATTAAATATGATACTTAAACATACAAAGATAAGGTAATACCTACATTATTTTGCTTACACACCTGGGCAGGTTGGTATCTATCTATGTATCTTTATTAATTTACTGGAAATAACTACATATAACGTAAGTGCGGGGAAAATAAGTAGTAGGTAGGTACTATCAGTGTCATAAGTGCATGGATGATTCTAAATCGAAATCGTTTGTACGGCGTTTCATCGCCTTAATTATATACCATGGACGACATAGATGGCGCTAGTATACTAGTGGTATTGAAAAATATACATTTATAGTTTTTATCAGATACAAAGTTATTAACTTAATAAATTTTTATACAAATTAATGCTACGATATTCCAAACCTTTTTAAAGCAAAGCACGCAATAACCAGGATTCGAACTCGGTAGCATAAAATTTACCGATGCCACTAGCCATTAGGCCATTACGTAACCTTGAAATGTATTGAAATTATCCTACTCTTTATTATATTGAAGTTGTTTAGCAACTATAACCCGATCATAAATCTCAAAACAGTTGAGGGTAATTTAAAATTAACTGTATAAAAATTAAACCTTTTTGTTCAATCATAACATTCTTTACTATCTTTGAGTGAGTTCAGTCACGATTTGTTTAACAAGTTTTTAATATTTATTTTTATTATGAATTTGCGTTCAAATGTTAATATGGCTACGAGGACCCAAATAATAGCATTGCATAATCAAAGCTTAAATTATACTGGAATTTCTAGAGAAACTGGCTTAAACGTAAGTATTCTTATAAATGACCGTTTGTTATTTATTTTATTATCCATGGTTATCGATACATGAAAATAATAAATAATACACGTCCCTTACAGGTAAAGACTGCCACTTTATGGATATCTAAAGCTGTTTCAAGAAGAGGGTTCATTGGAGCACCGTAGTGGATCTGGCAGAAGACGTGATATTGACTCAGACCAGTTTCAACTTATGGGGCAAGGTTATGAGGAAAATTACTGGAGCATTGTCATCTTCAGTGATGCAAACAGTGAAAACTACATAGATGTGCTGAAAGACGTCATGAAGATGTGCTAGTGATAACGTTCGTGCAGGACAATTGTCCCATGTGTAATGTTCCATAATTGTGCAAGTGTTTAGTCAGCAATCAGACATACGGATTATTCTTTGGCCTCCTAGATAGGAGAAATAGGATCGATAAAAATGGCGGCTACACTAGTTCTTAAAAGAAAAGACATTGTTGACTATAGGATTAAGCAATTACAATACCGGGGTAGCTATAATTTATTTAATGGATAAATGTTCAAACTTAGTGTTAGTAGGATAAATTTATTGACTACTTTATAACCAGCGACTGTTATACAGTAATGATTTTAATGTTTTACTAAATATGAGAAATAAAAATAAAAGCAATATTAATATTTACAGATGCTATTGATTGCAAAATAATAAATTATTTATTTATTAATTACTATGAACAATTCGTCCCATATCTAGTGAATGCTATATCCCGGTCTTAGAAATGTTATTGATTTAAGGTCTAGCTTCAATTTCTTCCTTGTTCTGGAACGAATACTTAAGCTATGAGCCTTTGTCATAACATGATGCACAAAATGAATCACTTTAGTCAATACTTTAATTAAATTTTATGGGGAGGTAAAATAGTTGCAGAAGTAAGGTTGCATATTATATAGAATCGTATTATAACATTGTGTTTAAAACTAACTAATAAATGACTAGCACAACACAATTTTGATTTAAAATACTTATTTATCTTATAAAAAGTGTAATAAATAATGTGTCAGTTAGCTGAAAAGTTATTAGGTCAGGGTTATACACTATATAAGAAAGAAATAAATATTATGTTTTAAGAAATAAATGTCTGAAATTATAATGTCACTAAAATAGTTTTATTTGTTATCCTTTATGAGAATTAAACTTAGTATTAGTCTTAATCTGTAAGAAAAATATGTTACTTTTACATTAATAGTTAGCACATATTATAAAAGTTATTTATATATATTTATTAATATAATTTTATTCTAAAATGATATATATTTATTTATTTTTGTTATCTTTTATAAATATTAAACGTCAAATATTTTATTTATATATTATTATTATTGATTTTATATAAAAAATATAAAAAACCATTGTTAAAAAACCTGAATTTAAAAATGATAACCCAGAATTGAACCGGTGCCCTTCGACTTCATTATACTATCATTCTTATTTATCCGAGCTACCGATCGCATTTTTAATGTTATCGAAAATGCGGGTTAGTTTATAACTTTTATTATTGTCTATTATTAATTATTGACGCCATCTTTTAATTGGTTTGCTTGAGTTGACTTAGATGGCGCTATATTAAGTCCTTGGAAATGTGAAAATTAACATAATTTATGTGTATTTGAATATAAATATATTATTGTTTCTTAATTATTATTTTAACCATTAAAAACCTTATTGTGTGCCTCTGCAGTGTAAAGTATTCAAGCTTTGCAGGGTTATTTTCATTTAAAAGCAGCGCCATCTAGTTATCAATGGTAGCGTTATGCAAAACCTGTCAGTCAATAGTCGACCTTAAGCTCTCCATGCATTTTTGTCACCCTTAGTACCTATCTATCTATGTATGATAATAAAAAATATCTATTTGTGAAAGAGGCTTTGACGCTTCGTCTATTTAAATGAAAGCGCTAAAAATATTGGCATTTTATTTAACTTACATTATAAATATAATGGTAGGTAAGATAATGTACCAGACTAAAAATATTGTTGCTTTTGAAAGGCAACTGCGGCTGCAATTACTCGATTTAAGCCATTGAATCAAACACATGTGTAAATGACCCAAAAACATTGCGGTATTTCCCCGTCGAATGTAAAGAAGTCTGCGTGTAAAAAGTATCTAATACACAGATTGATATGATGATTAATATAGTATTTGTGTCAGTTCTTTTGTAAGACCAATCTCCTTTAGGGCAAGTCAAGTAAAAAGGCTTAGTTTTTCAAATGTATACTCGGATTCAAATATACGAACGGCCGCCTCTGTTTCATACATTTATCCGACTACCTCCCTAACGACTAAAGGGTAGCCATTTAAAGAGAGAGAGGAAAAACTTTCCACTCTCTTGTCAAATTTTTCTTTCATTTAAATCTTCTCCTGACCGTGACAAACACAACAAAAAAAGAATTGGAAAAATGGCTCGGGCGTCGTTGAGTTCTAGATTATAGGCGCTACGTTTAGATTAGTAGACAAGTCATAAGCAATTAAAGTGTTTATTTAAAAATAATTGGTATTGCGCTAACAATTTTATTACCTATAACAAATTATCATTAACCCTATTCTCTGTTTATAAAAAGATACGTACTATCGGAATTACAATTCGGTACTTACATAGTTTGTTCACTGTCTAATTTAGTTCCATCCTTATAAGTAAGCTTCTCTCGTGCGGCTTCACCCGTTGCTCGAATCTTATAAGTTGTAAAGTGATGTTTTAGCTTGTAGCCTTCCACATTAAATTAACTAACGAACACTAAAACAGTTGTCCAATTCGAACCAGTACTTGCAGAGCGTGTTCCAGAGATTAGCGCGTTGAAACAAACAATTAATATTAGACCATATTTAGCTTATAAATCCTTACATATTAAATGATTATTTTTCTTTCTATGACGTCCCAAGAGTACTTCCACTGGTCTTTGCTAAATCAAGACAGCCAGGAAGCTGGAATCTCTGGAGGGTAATATAGACTTTTTATTGCGGGAGTGAGTGTCAGACTCTTACTGACTAAAAACCCCCTTCCTTCTCCTGCTTCAGGCCGAGGCCACGGTGACTTATTGCGCTTGCCCCGCAACCCCGGCTGAACATCAGCGCTATAGGGCCCCGCCTGTGGTGGTGTATTAGCTCTTGGTTCTGGTCGGGTGGCGAGCTACCCTTACTCGCCATTCGCAGACCCGCGCTTACGGTAGCCGGAGATTATCTCTCGATCCCCAACGCCCGGAGTGTCGCCTGCTGCAGGGGCTGGAGCGTGAGGAGAAGGATTACTCCCTCACGCGGTCCGCCTACGTCTTTGCGAGCATAACTCCTTCACAGAAGGAGGAGACGGCGTCCTAGTTCCTTTCGCTCCGCACCATGGCCTCGACTAAGGCCGGGCGCGAGAGGTCGCTACCACCGATCACTTCCCTGAGGACATGGTGGTGCCCAGCCCAGGCAGCTGTATCTTCAGGGTGACGACACTCGGGCAGATTAATATAGGCTAAGTTTTTATTTATCAACCAAGCGAGTGAAGCCGCGGATAGAAAGCTAGGGTGTGTATATACAAGAATAGCCACGTAACCTGACAGAATAAATACGCCTTGACACTAACCGTCTCGAATAACATGATGACTAACGAGGTTCATTAAAACTGTACACGTTCCGGAGAACATTACGTGGTACCTAATATTAACCGAGTCTTGCACCATATGTAGGTGGATGTTATTTCGACTTGTGTTATTGGTGTACTGATGTCGATACCTATCGATTTTCTACCACTCAACAATTTCTTTTAACTGATTACTTTACTGTTTTAATTTATTTGATGGCAAT